GCTCGCAACCCCGGACCGCACGGCACATCTACTCCGACTGGCTACCAAACATAATAACGTCGATACGTTTCTTAAAGATTAAAGAATAACATAGGGGTAGGCAGAGGTGCACATTATGCCACTGTACAATGTAACACCCACTTTTCACTATTTATGTTATGAGTCCCATGTAATAGGGGTGAGCCTATTGCCATATACCGGGCACAATTCCAGACTCCGTGCTACTACTGAGATTTTTTTTAAAAACCCAGTAATACTTTGCCCGACCCGGGAATCGAACCCGAGACCCCTTGCCCGGTAGTCGCACTTGCGACCACTCGGCCAACGAGGCAGATTAAAGAATAGTATTTGTAAATTAATTATGTTTTTTGCTTATTCATGTAACTCTTTGACGAGGAATTCGACTAGGTTTTTTATGGCATAAGTCGGTAAACGAGCAGACAGATCACCTGATGGTAAGCAATCGGCGTCGCCCATGGACACCTGGAACACCAGAGGCGTTACAAGTGCGTTACCGGACTTTTGGGTATTGAGAATTTGAGGATTGGGGGAATTCGGGGTTTGGGGAGCCTAGTGAGGGGAGGGTGAGGGGGGTGGGGGTAATGTAATTGGGCCTCCGGTAGTAAAGCTTTTCTCAGTATATTCACGTGAGTAACCCGCGATTTTAGTTAATTTAGTATGTCTCACGATAGTTATTATAAAAACAGACCATACCATCTACCTCTGTTCCAAATTTTATATCTATCCCTTCAGCTGTTTTGACTTGATAAAGTAAAAAACAAATATATAAATGCACACCAGCGCCATCTAAGGGGCTTAGTACAGGTTTCTTTTACGTAGGTAGTAATCTAATCTGTGTCAAAGTAATGTGAACTTTATGTTCTTAGAATAAAAGTAGGTTATTGAAAGCTTTGTTACGTGTTCATTGTACCTTTGTTATTTTTAATGTAATTAAAGTAAGTTTATTGATATGTATTGTTTTTTTTAGTAAATAATATGTTTTTTTTCCAAAGAAGTAGACTTTTTTTATAGACAATTGCCTCCTACTAGGATTTTCTCCTGTGTTCTGTGTCACAAATATACAAGTTAACATACACATGCCACCCAGGCTCGAAACAACAAGGAGGTCCAAGTACTCCCCTCCCCCGCCTCCCCGAATACACAACAATCCTCAAATCAGAGTCAGAGAGCCATGCTTCGGCATGAATGGGCCGGCTTGACCGGAGTGATACCACGGCGTCATAGAAAACCGACGTGAAGCAACGCTTGTGTTGTGTTTCGTCGTGTGAGTGAGGTTACCGGAGGCCCAATTCCCCCCCTCCCCTTCCCCAATCCCCAACAATCCTCAATTTCCCAATTCCCAAAGGTCGGTAACGCACTTGTAACGCCTCTGGTGTTCCAGGTGTCCATGGGCAGCGCCGATTGCCTACCATCAGGAGATCCGTCTGCTCGTTTACCAGCTTATCCCATAAAAAAAATATTTGTGTATCAGGATCACACAGAGTAGATACGCGTGGGAATTGAACCCGCTACACATTGTGCGGTAGTCGGTTGCCCAGCCACCGCACCAACCGTGCAATCACTTGAGTATAGTAAGCACATAGTGCAATAGAATAATATCATTGCGACACCGGGGTTCGAAGTCAAACCTGGGATTTTTAGGGGGGAAAATCATCGAATGACTGGTCCCGCCTGGGTGAGGCAGAAGGGAGTGTCAGACTCTTACTGACTAAAAACCACCGCGTTCCTACTCCTGCACGTCGAGCCGGAGCCCCGGTTACCCGTTAGGTTCTTCTCCGATAGCTCAACAGTCGTACAGTCAGCATCAAAACTGTTCATCATTATCAGTGTTTCATGCACCTGTTTCGGCACAATAGATTAATAAAGTCATTATAAGTTTAAAAAAAATAGAAACAGTGTAAGACATGCTGGCATTTTCACGAAAATAATATCTCGCCTTTTATCCCCGAAGGGTTGGCAAAGTGCACATTACGGAACTTAATGCCACTGTACAATGTAACACCCATTATTCACCATTTATGTTATGAGTGCCATTCAGCCAACGACGCAGTCAGTTAAAACAAAATGACTAGGTATCTAATCTAGCTAATTGGGCCTCCGGTTACCTCACTCACAACACTTACATAAGCGTTGTTGTACAATGGTTTTCTGCTCGGCCGTGATATCACTCCGGTTGAGCCTACCCAGCAGTGCCGAAGCATGGCTCTCCCACACTTATGTTTTCAGTATACGTAACTAATTAACAACACCTAAATATCTAAATAAAAAGAAAAATAGGTAGGCACATAATTGTTTATTAACAATAATATAAATCAATATATAAAATAAAAATAATATAAAATCGTTGTAAAACAAATAATAATCGTGTACTTGCCAACTAGTCAAATTCAATACTTTTTTCGAACTGTCAAAAACGACGGTTTTCTATGAATTTTGTACGCGATAGTGTATTGTGATTGTGACGTCACGTATTTTTAGCGTCATATAGCATACATATTGCTTAAAACTTTGCTGGAAAATAATTGGTCATAAAATCAATCAATGAAAGTGTGATTATTTTTGAATTGAAGTCGAAATAATTTATTGTTGATTAAGGCAAGTACTCAATTAAGTAGGTACAGATTATAAAAGTAAAAAACGAAAATAAACCCAAGGATACACTAGGGGACAAGATATGTTTGGTTATTTATCTGTTAGTTTTAAGTCTGTTTCCTATCCCAATTTTCTATTTCTTACTACACACTGTGTCATTATATTATTATTACTTTTCCTGCTCCAGGTCCACAGGAAGAAATTCCAATAGGAATATGTGGTACCTTTGTACTTTAATTTTATGTATGTGTTGTCCTTTATATTGTATGTGTGTACATAAATAAATAAATAAATAATATGTCCCACGACATGTAACGGCCACATGTCAAGCGAAGCCTACCGATGTCGCCTGACAAATATGGCGACAACGTACGACTTATGTCTGCAGCGACGTCAGAGGACTTTACGAATCTTTGTCAGAGGCCTTAGAACGAGATTCATTTACGTTTAAAGTATTCGAAAAGAATACGCGTTCGGAACCCTAATTGGCCGGCGCCAATGAACCAAGCAATCAGAGTACCAAGCACGAATAACTATCGCAATCGTAACGTAATAGTATCGGGCGCGTTCGGCGCTCTGATTGGCCGGCTCAAGTGAACCAACCATCAGAACGCTTAACTCGCTCGATACTGTTACGATACGAATGCGATAGATATTCGTGCTTGGCACTCAGAGCGCCGAACGCGTACTCGATACGATTACTTTATACGTAAATGAAACTCTTACTAAGACCTCAGACTTATTTGCCGACATCGCGCGAGATACGTCTGTAAGAACATCAGGCGAAGTCATGCGACGTTGCGAAACTTCACTGGATATCTGGCGACATACGGTAATATAAATAAATATCATACAGTAGGTATTCCAACTTCATACAAACGGACGAAACGCAAGCTATGCCTACGCGCCTCGATCGTGAATTCGTGACCTGCAGTCAGCATGATAACTGTCGCGACTGTGCCGCAGTGACGAACGGACTGTGTGTCGTTTTTTTAACATTATTCGCGCGATTTTTTCATATTTAATATGGCGAGTAGGATATATACCTGGTGCTGTTTTTGGTTGTATTTATTTGCAAATATTTAATTTTCAAACAATAACATGTTTTTTAAATTAAGTCTACCAATCAAAAAGCAACACGCATTTTTATTAAACACTTCCTATTCCATATCTACGAAGTATTTTATTTGTTTGTGTAAAAAAGGACAAAACTGAATAGAAACAGAAAGTAGGCAAATGTAAATAAAATGCTGGAGACGGGCAGCCTAACGCATGTTTACGTACCGCGCGGCTGTAGGTATTTAACTCTGTCATGCGACCGAGTTACACTACTGTATGAAATATTACCGTGGTAGTAGCATGTCGTGCGATGTTGCCTGACATGTCGACCGAAACCGGCAACGTCGCGTTACCTCATCCGACGTCGCTGGCGACCCGTATCGCGCCATGTTGCCATACATGTCGAATGAAGTCCGGCAATGTCATGCTACTCCACCCAACGTCACTAGTGACATGTGTTGCACGACATTTTGTCTCCAAGTGTATACGTACTACATTAAAACTTATATCTAAGTACATAAATTAAAATATAAATTATTATAACAAACAAAAAGACAAATGAAAAAAATAAAAAGCAAAAAGTAACTATTATTAGTACTGATAGGTTACCCCATGGACGTATTTCCATGGGTTACCACCCTCACTGATAGGTTCGAAGTCGGCGCCATAAGTTCTATACAAAACCTTAATAGATACCTAATTTACAATTTTGTGGCCATTAAGTTATATCATTATGATATGAGCTTATAGCACCGACTTCTAACCTGTCAATACTAATAATAGGTATTTTTTGCTTTTTGTTTGTTTTGGTTTTTTGAAGTCGGTTTTTACACTCAATTTTTATTTTATCATTTTTAGTGTAAAGCTACATAGATCCGTTTTCTTGTTGTTTTCCCCAAGTACACAAGGTAGTTACTGCATTCCGTTGAAGAGTTCCCTTAACATTTATACTTCTTCATCATCAGACTCTTAATGAGAGTCCCACTCTATCTAGGTACGTGTAAAATCATCATCAATACAAATTAATCAAGCCCAAACACAAGGTAGTTACTGTATACCGTTGAAGAGTTCCCTTAACAATTATACTTCGTCATCATCAGACCCTTAATGGTAATCCAGTGGGACTGTCATTAAGAAGTCTGTCTTAATAGGTAATGGTTACTGACATATGCTTTCTTAATCAAAATACGGTTCAGTAGCTCTATAAATTGAGGTTTTAATTCACAAATTTCCAACCTTATCACCTAAGGAGTATAGTTAAAATTCGTTGACTACGCGTCCATCTCAGTTGCATATCGATTTCATAAAATATACATTTTAGTCTTAGTTTAGGCATATTTATTTTTGTTATAATATCCACCGTAATTATGATAAAGAGAAGAATCGGATTTAGCACCCTCACAGACAGTTCCAGCCAAAATGTTGTCGACATTTGCCCTGAAAATGAAAAAAGAAATTAATTTTGTACGAGTAGTGAGCCACTCTAGTTAGACTTACCACCATCATTGCAATCAAGAATAGGGTAGATGCCTAATTTTTATTTTAATTTCCGTCTGGTAGATTATTTTAAATCATTAGACACGTATTTTTTATTTTCTTACAGAAACGAGTACTTTCGACGATATATTGATTTGAAATGTCGCGTGACGTCACTTCTATGTATATTGTATACGTAGAAATGACGTTTCCACCCCCACTCCTAAATTTTGATTCCTGATTATTATACGACAAAATAAAAAAATACGTGTCTAATATTTTTTCATTACCTAACTTACGGACTAATTAGATTTTTAATTTTCATACCCTGTCATCATCCCACTTGAGGGCCCTTTGGAAATGTTTCATTTTTATAACGTTGCCCCACACTAGGATTTTCTCCTGTATCGTGGGTGCATTTACAAACATACAAGTTCACATACACATGACACCCAAACACGGAACAACAATTTGTGGGACATACAAAGATTTGCTTCGTGCGGCGAAACTGTTACAAATTGCGTGGTAATCGGTTGCCGTGTGCATCGTAGAAATGGTCGGTTCTCAGGGGCTCTCTGAAGACGGGCCTCGAATGCCCTTGTGCTAAAGAAGTTACTGTTTTTTGGTTAATTTTTAGGTAGTTAGTGAGATAACCGGAGGCCCAATTATCCCCTCCCCATCCCCAATCACCTCAATCACTGAATCCCCAATAATCCTAAAACTCCTAATCCCAAAAACACCGGTAACACCCTTTTAACGCCTCTGGTGTTCCAGGTGTCCATGGGCGACGCCGATTGCTTACCATCAGGTGATCCGTCTGCTCGTTTACCAGCTTCACTACATAGTATAAAACAAAGTCGCTATCCGCCGTCTGTCTGTCCCTATGTATGCTTAGATCTTTAAAACTACGCAACGGATTTTACGCGGTTTTTTTAATAGACAGAGTGATTCTTAAGGAAGGTTTATAGGTGTATAATACATGCATATTGCATCTGTACGAAGCCGGGGCGGGTCGTATCCCATAAAAAAGTAAGTACTTAAATGGAAAAGGTTTAAAAAGGTTTAATATTTACTTGTACACGAAGAAATTATAGTCATTAGGGTTGAATCTTGAGAATATGAAACGCGGCAGCGTGTTGGATGTCACCCATACTTCGTTGTCAGTCACATGCAAATCTGTAATATACAACATAAGATTAGAATACATCAACAACCTATAAGTGCCCACTGCCGAGCAAAGCCTCTTCTCACACGGAGAAAGTTTGAACATTTATCACCACGCTTGCCCAATGCGGGTTGGCGATTTCAAACTTATACCTAATTAGAGATAATAGCAGCAGGTTTCAATCTCGATGTTTTCCTTCACCATTTGTCGGTGGTGTCTAAATAATATTAAAAAGTACATATAACTTGGAAAAATCACATTGGTACTTGCCGTTGGTAGGTTTCGAACCCGCACCCTCATGCATGAGAAGCGGGTGTTTTAAACCTCCGGGCCACCACGTCACTAGTACAAATGGGACTGGTACAAAATATTTGCCGTTGGTTGGTTTCGAAGCCGCAGCCTCATGCACGAAAATTCTTTGCCAGAGTCTGTATTTCCTGAAGAGTTATAACCTGGGTGTCTTCAAGGCCCGAGTGAATATGTTGCGTGGGACGATGTGCTCCATCGTAGACCGCATCATCGCTTACCACCAGGCGAGACAGTGGTCAAACGTCGTCCTATCAAATAAAAAAAGCGGGCGTCCTAACCTCCGGGCCACTACGACGTAGCAACGAAAGATAATGTCGTAGGCGAACGTAATGTCACTTAGATTGAAGCACCAAAATGTCAGTGGTGTATTCATGTTTGCGTGTGTTTATAACATATTTAATGGGGGAAAATCATCGAATGACTGCTACCGCCTGGGTGAGGCGGGAGGGAGTGAAAAAACCCAACTTAAGGGCTCGTACACAAAACTGTGATGCGACGCTGCACCGCAAAAATATGTGAGCTCCCTCTACGCATCGCAAGAACTTGCGAATTCATTCGCATAGCGCATCAAAATCTTATTTTTCCAAAATCTTCTTTGTTACTTTTTCCTGTATTTCCTAAGCAATAACAAAACTCCACACTTCTGTTTACGATCCATGTCACGACTAGTGTTGCCCAAATGCAAGAACAAGACGAGACTTAGCCAGTCTTGGTCTTGGTCTTGCGCCAATACACCTGGTCTTGGTCTTGGTCTTGGTCTTGCGCTCCCAGTCTTGGTCTTGGTCTTGGTCTTGCAGCAAGAGTCTTGCAAGTCTTGCAATTACCTATTAGTCTATTACTATTTATTAAAGTTTACTTTAAATCTTAGAAAAACGTATTAGAATTGGAACATTGTGAGCTTGAATTAACATAGCCATAGTAAAGATCAAGCAGATTAATAAATAACTGAAGATTAAGAAATATAATGACTAAATGTACAATAATAGTACCTAAGTAATTACTTTAAAACCATATAAGTAATCAATATTATAATATACCGTATGTAGAAAACTCTTATACATTTATTTATACAACATACTTGTTATCGTCTATACTGACAATGTACAAAAAAATGAGCAAAATCGGCCCAGTAGTTAAGCCAAAAAGTGCATTTTTCTCTTTGAGAAAACGTAAACACTCTTTAAGTTCATTGACGCAGGTCAATGCACTCCAATGCGCGACGTTGCCACTTTTCCTGTTTCGGTTTTCAAAATGAGAAAAGAATTGGTATAATCCTAACCAGACCCAAAATAATATGATATGTTTGTCACTGCACCGTCCACTAATCCACATTTTAAAAGAAATAATCGCGATGAATCTTTAATTTACACTGTAGGTACGCACATTAAGCTATGCTAAACCAGTATAAACTGATCGTTGAATATGAAGAAAGATCATACAAAACGAGACCAAGATAAAATGGTTGTTGTTCTTGTAGGTACTCGCCGTCTGTGTTAAACTATTTATTTGCCATATTCAATGAAGATGTCGATTCACGAGTTTGATTGAAAAAAAAAACACCTCAATTCCATTCGGCTCTTGATTTGAAAACTAGAAAACACGTTTCATAAACTTTTTGTGTACCTACACAAACTTCTAGCCGCTTACAACTAGTTACAATACCTTTTATTATGAAAAGAACGAATAAAATTACCTTTTTCAGTTACGCCTAATCCGGGCTAACACACGTTTAGTTTACGCCTTAAAAAAATCTTTAAACGACAACACGGATATCTCTCACTTGTTTAATTCATTTAAACACACATCACTGATCTTACTTTTGCAATTTTCCATAATTCATTTACAGTTACAATTACAATTTATTTACTTGCACTCAGAAAACCAATCAAAACAAAATTCCGCGTAAAGCTCAAGTAGGTATAAATTGTTTTGTTTGCAATGAAGTAGTAGTTCCTACACGAACCACGCTTACACAATGGTTGGGTGGCGGCGCTGGTGGCAGTGACACCAACAGTGAAATTGTGCAAATATCGATTTCACAAAGAGTGTTTGGCATTTTGTAGTAGTTCGGCAATTTCTCCATAGATGGCACTATTACAATTTCTTCAAATTATGAATCAAAATTTATTAAAATTACGAATTTATTAAGGAGTCTGACATTTGTATCGAATTACATCAGTGAAATTACGTATTTATTTACCTTTCTAAGTCGATTACCACATTTAAGAATCTCTTTCTGCCAATATCGTCTAGTTGACACGGAAATCGTACAAATATCGATATCACAAAGAATGTTGTAGTAGTTCGGATTTTTTTCCATAGATGGCACTTTTTCAAAAACCAAATTATGAATCAAAAATTTATAAGTTAAGAAATTCGTCGAAAAATACGAAAGTACGTACGTAGTAAATACGTATTAATTTACCGTACGTATTTCTAAGCCGATTATAACATGTAAGAAAGAGAAGATGCGAATATCGTCTCGTTGACACGCACTTGTCAGTAAATAATGAAGTAGGTAGGTAGTCACAGTTGTAATACCCTTGTTCATAACATTACTGCAACCAAATGTCGGGTAGTTAACCGTTATCAAATATTAATTTAATAATTTAATTTATTTTTCAAAGATCTTTATTTACGTAATAAAATTACGTAAATAAGTACCTACATCGGAAAACAAAACTAATGCGTACAGTGGCCAGCAGATCAACGTACACATCTGACAAATTTATTAATTGGATTTTCGACTTTATGTCAATACGATAAAGTTGAAGTTACCGTACCACTAATAAATGGGTGTAAGTACATCAGCAGTGCGGTGTATGTAATAGCCGCACCAGCGGTCGGTTTCTTTTGACGGCTTTTGTCAAAGATACCGCCGCTTGCAGCGGCATCGTGAAAGGGGTAGTTTCCCTTTCAGTACGCCGCGTTTGTGATCGAATGAGTTTGAAAATAAAATTTGTTCATCAGTTCACTGCTAGACTTCCGGGATAGTGTGTACTGTGCTTTTCGCTAATTTCCGACGGGTTACGCGCGCGTTGTGCTAAACGATTGTTGTTGTTTTTTGTAATTAATTATTATTTTAGCTCTTAGTTTTTTTAATTATTAGATTACCTAGTTTTCTTTACTGTGAACCGGACACTGACACAACTGTGTATTTTATTTATTTAACTTTTAATTGTGTATTTACGTGTGTCTGTGTGTTGTGCCGAAATGCCGCGATATTATTACATGGTGAATGTCATCGTTAGCGTCGGCTCTGCGAACTTATCGGGGGAGGTACGGAGCATCTCGTCACTGTTCGACTGATGTTTGTACAAAGGCTTAGAGAAAATCTGCCCATAGTGCCCAATACCCATGATGGAGCTTTGCTGGTCGGCAAACTTTATCGATCTTGGAACAAGGGGTTTTAGCATAGTATAAAGAACACAGTAGGTTATCTAAGGCCGCCCGCCGAGTTATTAGCCTACTCTTGCGTTGATCCCCAGGGTTGTCACTTTTACTTTTAGTTAATATTTTCGAACAAGCAGCACTTGATCTAAATTTATGAAATGAAAAGTATATTATGATTGAATATTTTATCAATTTATAAATTTAGTAAAAATTAAAAGCTTATAAAAAGATTATTAACTTCTTAAAATAAACTTTAGCTCTATACATAGTATTCAGAAAGTAAATTTGGGAATACATTTATATGGAAAAATGCGACTCGGCTACGCTCTTAACAAATCAGATAAACTGTGAAATAAACAATACAATACCACATTTTCTTATAATATTTAAGTATAGTAGGTAATTACATTTCTGGTTGAGTAGGAACTATGAAGAATGATAAGAGTAAGAATAAGTAAGTAGGTATCTCATCATCAAGTACCTACAAATTATATTATGCTAGAAAAAGTGACTAGCTTACCTTTCCTGTTCAATAGGTACCTAATCTGAACAGAGACAGTTCTGGAATCGATTAATTATTAAGACACCCAAACACACAGCAATACGTTCTTCTACGATTATCAGACATTTTTTATTTCATTGAACAGTGCCGAAAAGCCGTGAAGCGCGCGCAAACCTCGTACAGTGTCAGCCCTGCCTGGCGCACTGAGAAACGGGTCGAGATTTTGTTAAAGTGTGCGTGCGTCGACGCATAGATACTATGGCGTACACATATAAGCCGCGCGCGGAGCATTTGTATGAAGATAACCTACTTTGTTCTTTATACTATGGTTTTAGCCTATTTCCGCAATAACCCAACCTGCAGTCTTAGGCAAGCAGAGCGTACGTTCCGTTATCGTCCAATGGTTCACGAGTTCAAAGAGTGAATGAGCCCCGTCACTGCAGTGTTACTACCAAGTAGTACCAAGCCGCGTCACCCGTACCTTCCATAACGTATGCGACGTTGCCGCTCTTCTGAGGTCAAGGTACGTTGTTACACAGAGTGTTATACTTTCTTGAATCTATTTTATTATTTGTTTTGTTTGAAAATTTCACTTTTTTAATTTAAGGTTTTCTCAAATCTTTGGTCGCGTTATACTTCTGTGTAATAATACTAAGTTCATTTATTGTTTAAGTCCGTGCCACATTGTATACTTACTAGAATGAATTAATATGACATCTACTACCTATCCTTACCATTTTATCCTAATCATAATACTACTTGCGTGATCAGTATAATATATTCATTTTCATTCTAAGCACTCTGAAACTTATTTATTCTTTGGAACACCTGTAGGTACCTACTCTTAAAATTCGAAATTATTTTGCATGAGTATACCTACGCCCTATGGCGGCAATCAAATAGTGTCAAATGTTATGATTTCGGCGTGGCGGCAACGATTGTTTTAGATTTCAAAAGAAGCCGGCGCGTGTATCATAAAACCATGTACTTCCGAAAAGCGGCAAATTTCTTTGAGAAGTAAGTACAAAACCTTTGATGCCGCATTATCAAAGTGCCGATGGTTAAAACATAACTATGCGTGCACTCAGTTTGATTTTAATAGATATTTTTTTATTCGCTATGTTTATGGTATTAGTCGTAATGCGCATAGGTCCAGTTTTTCATATTCTTTGATACAGTTTTTTGCGTCTCATAGAATACCTAAGCGTACCTACCTATACACCGAACTGTTACACCTAACTACTCAGTGCAATAGCGCTAAGTCCTAGCTGCAAGACGCAAGAGTCTTGCAGGCTATGTCTTGTTCTTGCTCAAGTCTTGCACGGTCAGTCTTGGTCTTGGTCTTGCTAAAAATACGCGGTCTTGTTCTTGGTCTTGGTCTTGCAAAAACGCAAGAACAAGACCAAGACTGCAAGACCAAGACTGAATTTGGGCAACACTAGTCACGACCTAATTTTCAATTTAAAATAAGTATAATAGTACGGTTGACGGTCGTCGAAGGAATGTTCCGTCTTGTCGCACGAAATCGCATCGCAGCAATTCGCATCACGACCGCGCACGCTGCTCATGAGGAAGGACCCCTCTGTGGTTCGAAACTAGTAGAGCTTTTCTCAGTATATTCACAGCAGCAGACTTTCGCCGCACCGGCCCAAACGAATCGCAGATAGTAAACAAAACGAGTCAAAACTAACTTCACGTGAGTAACCCGCGATTTTAGTTAATTAAAATATTATATAAGTAGTTTGAAATCGCCGCAAGGACACCGGTGACCGCAACCTATTGTTTTTTAATTTTGTCTATAATGATGGTACTCAAAGAGTTAATGCTCAAATCTTCTCCGTACGAAGAAGAGGCTTTGCTAAGCAGTGGGCATTTATATCTATAGGCTGTTAATGAAAAAAAAACAAATCTTGTACCTGATGGATAACTCAGTTTGGAGCTATCACGGGCGAGCATAGCCATGTTGTCTGGACGGAGTGGCATATCAGTATTCCAGCAGGATATGGAGTCTCTCCCCACTTCAGCAAAGAACATTACCTTTGAGGCGCCGTGCATATCGTGCATAGTGCTTTGGCTGTCAGTACCACGATCACCAACCACCTGGAAAATATTTAATCTATATAACATAACATAACATAACATAACATAACATAACATAACATAACATAACATAACATACCATAACATAACATCACGCCTTTTATCCCCGAAGGGCAGAGGTGCACAGTATGCCACTGTACAATGTAACACCCACATTTCACTATTTATGTTATGAGTCCCATGTAATAGGGGGTAAGCCTATTGCCATATACCGGGCACAATTCCAGGCCCCGTGTTATTACTGAGTTTTTTTTTAAAACCCAGTAATACTTACCAACGGCAAGCACCAATTTGATTTTTTCCGAATTATATGTACTTTCTAAGATTATTCAGACACCACTGACAAACGGTGAAGGAAAACACCGTGAGGAAACCTGGACTTATAATTTCTAATTATAAGTTTGTAATCACCAACCCGCATTGAGCAAGCGTGGTGCTCAAACCTTGTCCGTGTGGGAAGAGGCTTTGCTCAGTAGTGGGCATTTATAGGCTGTTGATGAATACTTAGCCTGATCCAGAATCGAACCCAGGACCCCTTGCCTGGCAGTCGCACTTGCGACTACCCGGCCAACGAATCACTCAACGTCTTCTGGTACTATTGGTCTACTAACAGTCTACTCAGGAATTACTAACGGTCTACTAAAACACTTACCTCAAAGGCAGTCTCGTTAGCTTGTCTCTTCTCCAGCTCACACGAAGACACAGAGAACTCTTGGTGGCTGACCATGGGATGGAAGTAGACCGGGCGACATCCATCAGGTCCTGGTTGTCCCGCAGCCACGCTGAAGATTCCATCATTCCACATAAATGAATGACCTGAAATTAAAGAGGTATTCTAATGTAACAACACGTCAAAAGCACCTAAAATTGAGTAGCATTTGAGTATTTCGACATAAGATTACAAAACAGGGGCTTAGCTAGCGCCGTATCTGCCGTATTAATTATACGGGGCCCCCGGACTACAGGGGCCCCCAACGTACCTAAGCAAAAATTAATAAAAACTTTCCAATTTTTATTATACTATTTCAGTAATCGCAAAAGTCAAAATAAACGTTTTTTTTCCACGTAAAGCATGCATTCAAAGGTTGGCAGAAACTTAAGAAAAATAAAAGTAATTAAGGTCCGCTAATTGGGGCGAAGTTGCCTAAAAAGATTTTTGGTTTTCACACAAATTATAAGTATTTTGTGTAAAAAAGTCTTGTGAGTAATGTTTAGGTACCCTTCAAGGGCCCCTAAACAATTTGTTATAAAGAACCTGGAACACCAAAGGCGTTACAAGTGCGTTACCGGCCTTTTGGGGATTAGGAGTTTGAGGATCGTTGGAGATTCAAGAATTGGGGAGATTGGGGAAGGGGAGGGTAGTTGGGCCTCCGGTAACCTCACTCATACGACGAAACACAACGCAAGCGTTGCTTCACGTCGGTTTTCTGCTCGGCCGTGGTATCACTCCGGTCGCGCCGGCCCATTCGTGCCGAGGCATGGCTCTCCCACACTTAATTTGAATTGGGTTGATTATGATCTGGTATAAATAACACCTTTTTTTTCGCCCGGTGAAAATGCCGTGCATACCCAGCCTCGCGGGGCCGAGGCCGAGTTATGTGGGGCTCGAACCAGCTACAAACACGCGCATGAGGGCGGGCCACGAGAACTGTACTTTCACACTACGTTCGCGATCCGCCCTGCGCCATCCCGGCTTAACGAAATGCCGGGCCCCTTCTCCTGCTGGGCAGCGCCCGCGCACACCGCGTATGCCGCCCCCTCTCGGGGCACTGCGGTATAAATAACACCTAGACCAAAAGCGTGTCGCGGAGAACCTAACGGGTTACCGGAGCTCCGGCTTGAAGTGCAGGAATAGGAACGGGGTGGTTTTTAGTCAGTAAGAGTCTGACACTCCCTTCCACTTGCCTCACCCAGGCGGGAGCAGTCATTCGATGATTTTCCCCACTTAAAAAAAAGATCAAAAGCGTGCGAAGCCACTGAAGATAGAACATAATAATTATATACATTGGAAATTAACATAACATAACATGTTGTATGTAGGCAGAGGTATACATTACGGCACTTAGTGCCAGTGTCCAATGTAACACCCACTTTTCCCTATATAATACGGGGCGAGGCTTTTGCCATATACCGGACACAATTCCAGACTCCGTGTGACCCAGTAATATTTTGTCCGACCCGGGAATTGAACCCGAGACCCCTTGCCCGACCGTCGCCCTTGCAGCCACGCGGCCAACGAGGCGGACACTCGGCTAACAAGCAACAAGCAAATTAAATCAATCATCAAGCTTCCTTGTGCGTACTGCTTAAGAGTGGAATTGTTTGCCAGAGTCTGTATTTCCTGAAGGGGAAAGGTATAACCTGAGAGTCTTCAAGGCCCGAGTGAATAGGTTGCTTATGGGACGACGTGCTCCATCGTACGCCGTATCATCGCTTACCACCAGGCAAGATAGTGGTCAAACGTCGGCCCAACAAAAAATACTTGTAAACAATAAACAATGAACCGACCTGCAACCCTTAAACTCCCAGAAGTCGGATTGAAATGAAAGTAGTTGTGTTGATGTCTCCAACTATCATTTTCTCTCAAGGAGTAGACGATCAGACCAAACGTCTGCAAATCCGGTACGTAAGCATACGCATCGCTGCAGTCACCGTTTTTGATAACCACGGTGATCGAGGCCAGGCCTGCAAACATTGAAAGAGTTTGTAGTTGAGAACGAGAATGAGAGCGAATGACTTACTGATAAATCTATTGGTTGATTGAATGACTGGTTGATAGAACCTAATAACTGATTTATTGATTTATCTTGACTCAATCGAGCTGTTGGTTAACTTATAGAATGTATGATAGATGTGTAACGTATATCCCCAAGCGGTCACCGGTGACCGCTCTCCATGAACTACATTATAGACCTTATTTCCAATGTTAAGAGACTGTTTTTGTATGAACAAATTTAGGGGACAGGCTGGTGTTGAAAATCAGCGCTATGGATTCGAGCCTTCGTGCCCGAGCCACAGCATTGAGCTGAGCTCCGGCCTTTTGCGCTGCGACTCACCATGAAATTCTTTTTATGTGCTCTTATATTGTTGTCTGTATGTGTGTCGTGGTGTAATAAACGGTTGAAAGAAAGAAGAGAAAGAAAAAGCATTTATTTGGCAAGACGGTTGTTCTTTCTTTCTTTCTTTTTTCAAAGTCAAAGTCAAAGTCAAAATCATTTATTTCAATTAGACCAGTAAGGCACTTTTGAACGTCAAAACAAAATATTTAAATATTAAATAATAAGAAAAAATGTACGTCTATAGGTCAGTCCTCTAGTGAAGCTCTTTGCTCGTTCCAAAGTGTAGATTCCGGTGGAGAAGAATGAGCAAGAAACTCCATGGGTCATATCTTCTTATCTTTCTTTCATGTGTTGATTAATTGACTGACTGATTGATTAATTAATCAAACGGTTGATTAACTGACAAATAGATAAGTCATTTGATGGATCGACTGAAAGATTGATTGATCAATCGGTTGGTTGACTCATGATGAAAGATTGATTGATTCATGAATTGACCGATTTAAAAAAAATACCTGTAGCAGTTCTATTAGTAGGTATATCTGAACTCTTGAATTGATATCGAAGAATCTGTTTGTCCGTTTTCAAATCGTACACCACAATTGCAGGTGGTCGAAGGTACTGTGGATTATCTGTAAAAGAAAATATTTTTATAAATGTAGGTCCTTATTAAGAAGTTTTATTTGCGACATCTGAAACACCAGATTCGTTACAAGTCATGTGTTTGTGCCATGTCGTATAAAAATTCTACGGCCACTGTAAGCACGGGCCTGCGGACGGCAAACATGAGTAGCCCGCCGCCCGACAAGAACCAGACCCGAGCGTGCGGCAAAGAGCCATCAGACCACCACGAATGGGCCCCAATAGGGCTGATGCCGATACGAAGCCACGGAGAACCTAACGGGTTATCGGAGCTCCTGCTGTGCCGTGTAGAAGTAGGAACGGGGTGGTTTTTAGTCAGTAAGAGTCTGACACTCCCTCCCGCCTCATCTTTGTAGGATGTATCTGGTCATTTGCCTACTGACTAACTCTATGACGATTGGTCTGCGCTTTCCACGTATTCCTAATCGTGTCATATCATCAATATGACCCTCTAGGCACATATTCATACTGTCGTAGAAGACATACAGAGTGCCAAGCACGAATAACTATCGCATTCGTAACGTAATAGTATCGAGCGCGTTCGGCGCTCTGATTGGCCGGCTCAAGTGAAACAACCAATCAAAACGCTTAACTCGCTCGATACTGTTACGATACGAATGCGATAGTTATTCGTGCTTGGCCCTCTGAATGAATATCTAGGCGGGAGACCACGGGGCCATTCGATGATTTTCCCCATTAAAAATAAAATAAAAATGCTGTTTAAATATGTACTCACTTGGTATCTCGATGACTCCAGTGTCTACCATCCACAGTCGTCCACATTCGTCAGCTCGCGTCCTGTACACGGATATCAAAGACCTGGATCTCTCCATGTCGGGGTATGGAGAGAGTGGAGGGGAACGGCTGTTCCCATGGAGATTCAAGTCTATGTAGTTCAGTGTTGCCGGTATACCTGCAAAAAAGTAAAATAATGTAACGAAGATAATAGTAAAATTTTCAGTTATACATATATCACATCACACCTTTTATTCCCGAAGGGGTAAGCAGAGATGCACATTACGGCACTTAATGCCACCGCGCAATCTAAAACCCACTTTTCACTATTTATGTTATGAGTCTCATGTAATAGAGGGTGAGTCTATTGCCATATACCGGGCACAATTATATACTTTCGACGACATATTAATTTGAAATATCGTGTGACGTCACAGCGTGTCACATTTTGTAGCACGTTATGACGTAACGACCTCCCACTACTAAACTTAGCGCCATTTTATCAAAGTATTGCAATTTAATACGAGAAAATAAAAAAATACGTGTGTAATATTTTTTCATTATCTAACTGACGACGGACTTATTACATTTTTAATTTTGATACCCTGGAAACTACCCAATTATATGTTCCAAAGAACATAAAAGTACGTCATCACAAAGTTGGAAAACAAAATAAAAAAGATGAAGAGATGCTCACCATATCTTCGCCGTGGGATTGTGATAAACACACGATCATCAACTCTTTCAGCCCCCATCGGAACGTTATTGTATTGCACGAAGAACCGTCCGATTTCATCTGGAAAATCAAAAACATTATTAGTTTTTTTATAGGTTAAGCCGATAAACGAGCAGATCACCTGATGGTAAACAATCGGCGCCGCCCATGGACATCTAAAGCACCAGAGGCATTACAAGTACGTTATCGGCCTTTTGGGGATTAGGAATTCGAGGATTATTGAGGATTTGAGGATTAGGAAGATTGGGGAGTGGGGTTATTGGGCCTCCGTTAACCTCAACACACGACGAAACACAACGCAAGCGTCGATTCACGTCGGTCTTCTGTGATGGTTTGTAGCATTCTGGTCGAGCCGGCCCATTCTTGCCGAACCGAAGCATGGCACTCCCACACTATCTCGGCTATCAGTGTTGATGGTCAGCGTGCGTACAGCGCGTCAAAAAAAGCAGCCTAAGAGTATCCTTACTAATATTATAAATTGGAAAGTGAGTTTGTTTGTTTGTTTGTTCCGACTTCACGCCGTAACTACTAAACCGATTGCATTGAATTTTTGCAGACGTAAAGTTAGAAGTCTGGATTAAATAATAGGCTAAATTTATCCCGAAAAATTCGATATTCTCGAGGGAAAACGAAGTTAATGGTATAGATGGCGCTGTGTGTATTGGTATGTCACATAGGCTACTTTTTATGTCGCGGAGAACCTAACGGGTAACCGGGGCTCCGGCTCGACGGAGAAGGAACGGGGTGGTTTTTTTTAGTCAGTAAGAGTTTGACACTCCCTTCCGCCTCACCCAGGCGGGAGCAGTCATTCGATGATTTTCCCCCCTTAAAAAAAGGCTACTTTTTATCCTTTTGTGACGCGAGCGAAGCCGCGGGTAAAAGCTAGTAAGATATATTTAAGAGAACCCTGTCGCTGTACTTAGTCGTAGCATGGTGTCTGAATTGTTTATCGTGTACCTAATTCCTTGTTCCATAAAAACCTTACCATTTGGGTTTATCGGTGCAGAACTCGGCGTGTCTATAGGATTGTTGTACACAGGCTGCTGTGAAGAAAGTGACGGTCCTGAAATCATATAAATTATTTAAATAGCAAGGAATTGATTTTCTCAACGAATTGTCAAAAATTCGTGGTGGCCCGGATGTTTAAGACGCCCGCTTCTTGTTGTTCAGTTGAGTAGCTAAGATTTAAGACGCATGCATGAGTGTGCGGGTTCGAACCTACCAACAGCGGCTTTTGATTCATTCATCTTTTCTGTTCATTCTTCTTTTTTCTTTCAATGTTTCCTGTTGTTTCTTTTCTAAGCTTTGTAATTGCTGAGTAGATCATCATCATCATGAGCGTATAAATGCCAATTGCTGATGCTTCTTCTCACACGAAGAATGTTTGAGCATTAATCACCACGCTTGCTCAATGCGGGTTGGCGATTTCAAACTTATAATTACAAATTATAAGTCCAGGTTTCCTTCACCGTTTGTCAGTGGTGTCTAAATAATCTTATAAAGTACATATAACTTGGAAGAAGTCACATTGGTACTTGCCGTTGGTAGGTTTCGAGCCCGCACCTTCATGCATGAGAAGCGGGCGTCTTAAGCCTCCGGGCCACCAAGGAACAGAGAGGGAACAAAGAGTATAGTTCCCTAAGATCGGAAAAGGATTGGAGAAGGATTGTTCGTTGGGATTTTCTATCCGTGTTTATTCGCTTGTAAACTTTGCATGTGCGATGTAGGATTCTTGTGACGTCATCCGTTGACTTGTGACATGTGTCGCCACAACTGCCTCTACCTTTACAAATATTTGTTTAAATTATATAAGATAAACTCACTTTTATCCCAAACCTTTTGCTCCTCATTATCTTTGTCATCGAAATAAATATTATCTGTTGATCTTCTATCTCTGCCTGCTAGGTCATCTTCAGAAAACCGATCTTCAAGTACTGGAAATTAAATAAAAAGCACTTTAGTTGATTTTTAATCTTAAATATGAATTCTCCACGGACTGCGTGCCCTTGTCATACAATTTTAATCAATATTTTATAAAGTACCTAGTTAAACACTTCAATTAACCACATCTTTAATTATTACTACAAGAATAAATTACATAATTATTAGCTATGGCGGAGTACTGCGCGAATTAACAAAAAAAATCAATCAGCCGAACATAGTACCTCCTTTTATTGAAGTCGGTAAAAATAAAAAAATACGTGTCTAATATTTTTTCATTACCTAACTGAAAGACTATTTAGATTTTTAATTTTCATACCCTGTCATCATTACACGTCATCGTCATCATATTCAACTCTATTGTCACCAGACTGCCTCGTTGCCCGAGTGGTCGCAAGTGCGACTGCCGGGCAAGGCAGTCTCTGGTTCAATTTCCGGGTCGGGCAAAGTATTAGTGGGTTTTAAAAAATTCTCAGTAATAGCACGGAGTCTGGAATTGTGCCCGGTATAATAATATGGCAATAGGCTTACCCCTATTACATGGGACTCATAACATAAATAGTGAAAAGTGGGTGTTACATTGTACAGTGTTATAATATGCACCTCTGCCTACCCCTTCTGGGTAAAAAGGCGAGATATTATGTAATGTTATTTCATCCTTATTGACCCTAACAATCGATGCAATAAATGTACAAGGTGCTACTTTTACAGATTTTAGTCTGTCTGAACGGGGTGGTTTTTAGTCAGTAAGAGTTTGACACTCCCTCCCGCCTCACCCAGGCGGGAGCAGTCATTCGATTATTTTCCCCCCTTAAAAAAATCCGTCTCATTGCAAATAAATCACATTCTGGTGCTGACATCAGGGGAGAATTGAGCATGGTGAGTACTCGGACCAGCGGAGACTCATTGTCGCTATATTTATTTATTTTTTTTAAAAAACGTTGCCCCACACTAGGATTTTCTCCTGTGTCGTGGGTGCGTTTACAAACATACAAGTTCACATACACATGACACCCAGACCCGAAACAACAATTTGTGGATCACACAAAGTGTTGTTCCGTGCGGGAATCGAACCCGCGACACGTTGCACGGCAGCCGGTTGCCCAGCCACCGCACCAACCGTGCAGTCAGCAGTGCAGTCAGTCAGTAAGCAGTGCATATTATTATGGTAATCTAATCATCTATCCCCCAGTAAACGTTGTTGCATTCAAGAACATTTAGTTAACACCTACAACGTTTTGCAAATGATTTTCCTTAAAAATCTTTGTATCGAAATTAAAGATATTTATCTGAACGAATCGCTTTTTGTTCCGCATTTTTTGTTAAACAGACTTGTCAGTGCATCTGTACAAAAACATGTTTTTCTTATGAATGTTGATCACGATATTTAATGACAGTGCAAAGTTAAGGATCTTCTCAAAATAATCAAGAACGTGACGTAGGTACGGTGGTATATTAAAGTGTTAAAGACAGATTTGCCTGTCTTTAACACTTTAATATTTTTAACTGATTTACTGTCGTGGTGGCTCGGAGGTTTAAGACGCCTGCTTCTCATGCATGAGGGTGCGGGTTCGAAACCTACCAACGGCAAATACCAATGTGACTTTCTCCGGGTTATATGTACTTTCTAAGATTATCTAGACACCACTGACAAACGGTGAAGGAAAAACATCGTGAGGAAACCTCAACTTATAATCTCTAATAATAAGTTTGAAATCGCCAACCCGCATTGAGCATGCGTGGTGATTCATGCTCTAACCTTCTCCGTGTGATAATAGGCTTTGCTCAGCAGTGGGCATTTATAGGCTGTTGATGAAAGACAGATTTGCTAACAAGGTTTGCATCAAATATTTAGTACCTACGGTTCTACACTTAAAAGTAAGGTATTTATATGGGAGAGCCAAGCTTCGGAACGAATGGGCCGGCTCAACCGGAGTGATATCACGGCCTCACAGAAAACCGACGTGAAACAACGCTTGCGTTGTGTTTCGTCGTGTAATTGATTACCCAGTCTCCCCAATCCATGAATCCTCCACAATCCTCAAATTCCTAACTCCCAAAAAGCCGGTAACGTACTTGTAACGGCTCTGGTGTTTCAGGTCTAAGTATACGTATAATTTATGCAGAGAAAAATGAAAAGTAACTATGTGATTTGTATATTTGTAAACACACTCACGATACAGGAGAAAACCTAAGTGTGGGGCAACGTTTTAAAAAAAAATGAATTAATTGTAAAAAATTTTGACCCAAAATAAACTTTGTTTTTTAATAATACCTACTTACGTTGTGGGTTCTTTTGTTACAAGGTTATTGACTTTTAAGTTTGGGTTGTTTCCCAAAATTTTAATTACAGGTTAGTATTTAAAGTAACAAACGGAATAAGTACAATGAAATATTAATGTAAAAAAAACGACTTCAAAAACCAAAACCAAACGAAAAGTAAAAACTAAAAAGCAAAAAATAACTAAGTATTTTTTTTTATTTTTTTAAGGGGGGAAAATCATCGAATGACTGCTCCCGCCTGGGTGAGGCGGGAAGGAGTGTCAGACTCTTACTGACTAAAAACCACCCCGTTCCTTCTCCTGCACGTCGAGCCGGACCCGGAATGATACCACGGCCGGCAGAAAATAGACGTGAAACGAAACAACGCTTGTGTTATGTTTGGTCGTGTGAGTGACCGCAGGCCCAATTACCCCCCCTTCTCCAATCCCTGAATCCCCAACAATCCTCAAATTCCTAATCCCAATAGGGCGGTAACGCACTTGTAACGCCTCTGGTGTTCCATATGTCCATGGGCGACGCCGATTGCTTACCATCAGGTGATCCGTCTGTTCGATTACCGGATTATCCCTTAATAAAACATAAATGTAACAATAACCTGCCTCATTGGCCGAGTGGTCGCAAGTGCGACTGCCGGGCAAGGGGTCTCGGGTTCGATTCCCGGGTCGGGCAAAGTATTACTGGGTTTTTCTCAGTGGTAGCACGGATATGGCAATAGGCTCACCCCCTATTAAAGGGGGCTCATAACATAAATAGTGAAAAGTGAGTGTTACATTTTACAGTGGCATTAAGTGCTGTAATGTGCACCTCTGCCTATCCTTTCGTGGATAAAAGCCCTGATGTTATGTTATGTAACAATAATCTTCTTTAATTAAGTAAAATCGTGGGTTACTCACGTGAATATATTGAGAAAGCTCTACTAGTTTCGAACCACAGAGGGGTTCTTCATTATGAGCAGCGTGCGCAGTCGCGGCGGGGTCGCACTTTTCTCAGTATATTCACGTGAGTAACCCGCGATTTTACTTAATTTAGTATGTCTCACGATAGTTATTATAAAAACAATAACCTTCTTCAATAAATCTAACTATGTTATTCACAATGTTTTTTGTTTGGTTTTTGTGTACGGTTGTACACAAAAATGTATTTCCCATTACTTCCACACCATGTAGGTATGACGTCATGCAAATGAGCCGTGCAATTATAGACGGATAGTTAAAGTTCTTACAAATTGACTCTGTGTTTTATGAAGGTAATAAAAAACAGACGAAGAATAGTAGTATTTATTTGAATTTCCTATATTGTAATTGTGATCGTAACAAACGATTGAAGGTGCAGGTTTTTTCTTCAGGGGTTTTTTAAGGGGGGAAAATCATCGAATGACTGCTCCCGCCTGGGTGAGGCGGGAGGGAGTGTCAGACTCTTACTGACTAAAAACCACCCCGTTCATTCTCCTGCACGTCGAGCCGGAGCCCCGGTAACCCGTTAGGTTCTCCGCGACTCCGAATCGGCATCGGCCCTGTTGGGCCCCATCTGTGGTGGTCTGATGGCTCTTTGAGGCGCGCGCGGAACTCGACGCGCCGTACGCTCGGGTCTGTTTCTATCTGTGCCGTATTTGTCGAATGAATGTTTTTTTTCTTTCTTTCTTTTTTTCTAAATATGACGTTAGTGATGAGAAAATCACGGACAAATTATAATTTTACTATAACATGATGATTGATAAATGAGCTCATGATATTAAAGTCACGATTTCTCAATGCAATAAATTGTAGGTAGTGGTGATTTAATAATAACAAGTCATGATTTGTGTTGATTTATGTTCCCCGATGAGGCAAACAAAGGTGCATACATATATTATAAAATGTATATATATATACCTATCTCGAAGGGGTAAGCAGAGGTGCACATAGTAATGCCACTGTACAATGTAACACCCACTGTTCACTATTTATGTTATGAGTCCCATGTAATAGGGGGTGAGCCTATTGCCATATACCGGGCACGATTCCAGACTCCGTGCTACTACTGAGATTTCTTTAAAAACCCTGTAATACTTTGCTCGACCCAGAAATCGAACCCGAGACCCCTTGCCCAACAGTCGCACTTGCGACCACTCGGCCAACGAGGCAGTCTAGTATTTGTAGTTATCTTAATGCAGAGTACATAAGAAGATGCGCTCACTATGATGTTTTGTTAAGTTTTCCTGTTAGATAGATAACCATAGTTATACTGTATAGGTATAATGATGAGGACGTAGGTATAAGTTTGTACCTAACATTCGTCTTTTTTTTAAGGGGGGAAAATCATCGAATGACTGCTCCGCCTAGATGAGGTGGAAGGGAGTGTCAGACTCTTACTGACTAAAAACCACCCCGCACGCTTCCTTCTCCTGCACGACCAGCCGGAGCCCCGGTTACCCGTTAGGTTCTCCGCGACTCCGAATCGGCATCGGCCCAGTTGGGCCCCATCTGTGGTGGTCTGATGGCTCTTTGAGGCGCGCGCGGTACGCGACGCGCCGTACGCTCGGGTCTGTTTCTGGTCTAACGGGGAGCCACCCATGCTCGCCACATGGAAGTTTCGGGAGGTACCTGTGTCTGATGAGGCGGGAGGAAACACCCGGGTGTCATCACTGCTTCCTCATCGGGAGCATTCGCGTGTAATGTAACGTCACAGATCAGAGCATTACATCAGTGAAGGAGGAGAACCGAGCATTACAATGCGCACCTTGTAATGATACAATGTGTAATATCTTGATACAACTTGTAACATCAATGCGCTCCACTTCCCCCAGCCCCCGCCCGCCCGCTTCGTCTGACATCTTGCTATGAAATTCTTAGAATCTATATGTTACATTACACGTAAATACTCATTAGTCAGGGAGGTACTATTGTAATGTAATGCTCAAAGTCGAATCTATATGTTACTAAACGCATATGCTCGTTAGTCAGGGAGGTATTATTGTAATGTAATGCTCAAAGTATGTAAAATGTTACTTTACACGTGAATAGTCTTTTATAGCATTCCTTGTTCATGGTGTGATATTTTAAAACCTATTAGCCTCTTTAATAAATTTCCTATTCAGCACAAAAAGAATTTGGATTAAGGAAAAAATAGGGAATCCCAAAAACACGGGTTTATCACAGAATTATTTATTTATGCACAGGTAAATACTAAATCTTACGTCTAGACTAATAGATTAGTGTTCTGACCTTTTAAATTATTTATTTATTGAAGTAAATATAAGGATAATATATATACCTAATAATTAACATAAAAAGAATAACCATATAATTTATGTGTGACTGGTGACCGCTTGGGGATAGGTAAATGGTTTAAGTTAGACAATATCTTTTTTTATGGGATAAGCCGGTAAACGAGCAGACGGATCATCTGATGGTAAGCAATCAGCGTCGCCCATGGACACCTGGAACACCAGAGGCGTTACAAATGTGTTACCGGCCTTCTGGATTAGGAAATTGAGGATTGTTGGGGATTCAGGGGAGGATTCTTGGGGAAGCGGTGGGGGTGATCGGGCCTCCGGTAACCTAACTCACACGACGAAACACAACACAACGTTGTTTCACGTCGGTCTTCTGTGAGGCCGTGGTATCACTCCGGTCGAGCCGGCCCATTCATGTCGAAACATGGCTCTCCCACTTCACCCCACTATTGTATACAATTTAGGTACATACGAAGTTAAATAAAAGTAACTATTGCATCAAGTAGTATTCTATCTATCTACATATATAAATAAAAATGATTTTGCGTTCGTTAGTCTCGCTAAAACTCGAGAACGACTGAACCGAAATTAGCCAAAATTTTGGTCTTGGAATGTTCGTGGAAGTCCAGGGAAGGTTTAAAAGGTGAGAACAAACTTTTAGGCAAACAAAGTTTGCCGGGTGAGATAGTAAAATACTATACTTAATAATTATAATTTCACAACTATGTCTTGATTAAATTATTATTATTTTTAAATCTTTATATCACAAAGGTAAGTATTTTATAATCTAAGCCCTACATAACCGTTGTAATTCACTTATTCATTGTAGATCACAGACGGTTATCAGGCCATCAGTGCTTAGCACTGAGCAAAGGCCTCTTTTCACACAAAGAAGGTTATCATCATGCTTTCATTTTTCTTTTATATTTTCTTTTAATTTTTTTTAAAAAAACCTGCCCCACATTAGGATTTTCTCCTGTGTCGTGAGTGCGTTTACAAACATACAAGTTCACATACACATGACACCCAGACACGGAACAACAATCTGTGTATCACACAAAGAGTTGTTAAGTGCGGGAATCGAACCCGCGACACGTTGCGCGGCAGTCAGTTGCCCAACCACCGCGCCCACAGTGCAGTCAAATATTAGGGACAAGCCCTCCACAAGCTCCAGGTAGGCAGAGCACTTAATGCTACTGTACGATGTAACACCCACTTTTCACTATTTATGTTATGAGTCCCATGTAATAGGAGGTGAGCCTACTACCATATACCGGGCACATTTCCAGACTCCGTGCTACTACTGAGATTTTAAAAAACCCAGTAATACTTTGCCCGACTCGGGAATCGAACCACTAGGCCAATGAGGCAGTCTTTAGATAAAATAATAGAGACTTACCTTCGATTCCATTAATGTCAAAAGTAAGTTGTTTCCAAGCGAATACTTCGTCAAACTTGCCCACCCTGTTTTTGAATTGACAGCGTGACGGTACAGATGTTATCGCCAATAATATTGTGAAATATAACACCTTCATTTTTTATCCTGAAAAAGAAAATGTTTTTTTCAGTATATCGTTATGGGATAGATCGGTATGTTAGCGGCTAGCGGCTTTTTGGGAATTTGAGGAATAGAGGATTGCGGGGGAGAATAGGGTAGACGACTAATTTTTATTTTAATGTCCGTCTGGTAGATTATTTAATAACATTAAATACGTATTTTTTATAATAACTATCGTGAGACATACTAAATTAAGTAAAAACGCGGATTACTCACGTAAATATACTGAGAAAAGCTCTACTAGTTTCGAACCACAGAGGGGTTCTTCCTCATGAGCAGCGTGAGCTGCGCGACGACGTGTATATTCACGTGAGTAACCCGCGTTTTTACTTAATTTAAATACGTATTTTTTATTTTCTTACGGAAACAAATAGTTTATTTAAAAATCTGAAAAAGTCACATTGGTGCTTTCCGTTGGTAGGTTTTGAAGCCCAACATTAAAGATAAAGATAATTATATTTATTTAGTAAAACATGAGTAATTACAATGAAGGTGTTTTTTTGGTTCATTGACATGAGCCTTTGTATGGTAGGTTCTTGTTATAAAAGGTTATAAGTTACCTATGTTTTGTTATGACGCCAAAACTATTACTAAACCCGTTTACCAATTCGCTCCGTTGTTTAGATTTACAATTATACCCATTCAGCGGAATATTACCAAATAGTTTGTTTATTTTCATATAGTTGCTTGCTTAGACAGCCTCGTTGATCGAATGGTCGCAAGAGCAAAGGTTCTTACTGGGTTTTTTAAATCTCAGTAGTAGCACGGAGTCTGGAATTGTGCCCGGTATATGGCAATAGGCTCACCCCCTATTTCATGGGACTCATAACATAAATAGTGAAAAGTGGGTGTTACATTGTACAGTGGTATTAAGTGCCGTAATGTTCACGTATTCCCTTCGGGGATAAAAATTCTCGTTTTTCGTTCGTGCGGATTGTGTATTCAGACTAGGGTTCTGAAAATTCCGAAAAGATCGAAACTAATTTCTGCTTATTTCATTCATTTTTCGTTCACAAAATTTCATAATAAATGGTAATATGGAAGTAAATTTACTGGTAAATTACTGTTTAGTTGTTTTTGCATGAAAGAGTAGGTACCTATACTTAATAGGTAAGTATACAATTGTCTAACGTTACGCCTTATAATTCTCGTGCATAGACAGAGACGTACATCTAGGTATGTACAATGTAACACCCACTTTTCACTATTTATGTTATGAGTCCCATATAATAGGTAACTGATGAGCCTATCGCCCCATAAACCGACCACAATTCTGTTTAAACTAAAGAATTTACGACAAATCGTTAAATCCCACAAACACATTGCCTGACCACAAACACATTCACCCCCTTTATGGGACTCATAACATAAATTGTGAAAAGTGGGTATTACATTGTACAGTGGCATTAATTGTCGTAATATGCACCTCTGCCTAACGCCTTCGGGGATAAAAAAGCGTGATGTTATGTTATATTACATTGCTGGGTATCCGAGACATCCTGTTCTTGACGTAATCCTAAATACCACACGAGTAAATCCCCGAACGTATGTCGTGGTGGCCCGGAGGCTTAAGAAGTCCGCTTCTCATACATGAGACTGCGTTTGACTACCAACGTCAAATACCAATGTGACTTTGTCCAAGTTATATGTACTTTCTAACATTATCTAGACACCACTAACAAACAGTGAAGAAAACATGAGGAAACCTGGACTTATAATTGCTAATTAGCAGTTTGTAATCGTCAACCCGCATTGAGCAAGCGTGGTGATTAATGCTCAAGCCTTGTCCGTGTGAGAAGATGCCTTTGGTCGATCTCCGGCCACCGTAAGCGCGGGCTTGCGAACGGCGAGCATGGGTGGCTCGCTGCCCGACCAGAACCAGACCCGAGCGTACGGTCGCGTTCCGCGCGCGCCTCAAAGAGCCATCAGACCACCACGGATGGAGCCCAACAGGGCTGATGCCGATACGGAGCTGCGGAGAACCTAACGGGTTACCGAGCCCCGTCTCGAAGTGCAGGAATAGGAACGGAGTGGTTTTTAGTCAGTAAGAGTCTGACACTCCCTTCCGCCTCGGCGGGAGAAGTCATTCGATGATTTTCCCCCTTAAAAAAAGGCTCTTTATGATGATGATGATGGAATCCCCGAAAAGGTAAACAGAAATGGTAATAATAGTGTCTATGTGTGTACAAACTATATTTGAAGTTGTTTGCTAATTATATTAGCACTATAAATACACCGGACTCCGTGCTATTACTCAGAATTTTAATTTTAATTAAATACAAACTGTTTAGCCAGGGTCTATTTATCTGATTAAAATTTCTGTACATTTTATAGACACACAGTTAATATAAAAATAATACACGATAGTTGTCATGAAACATTTTTATTTTCTTCAAAATTTTTGAATCTTTTGTGGACCTAATCATAAGGTACATTTGAAAAATAAAAACGTTTTTATTTATTTACATCACGCCTTTTACCCTCGAAGGGGTAGGCAGAAGGCTTATACGGCACTTATTGCTACTGTACTATATAAAACGTACTTTTCATTATTTATGTTATGAGTCCCATGTAATAGTGAACCTATTGTCATAACTGGGCACAATTCCAAACTCCGTGCTATTACTGAGATTTATTTTAAAAACTCAGTAAATACTTTGGTCGACCCTGGAATCGAACCCAGGACACCTTGCTCAGCAGTCGCGACCACTAGGCGAACGAGGCAGTAAAAAAATAATAATTTTATATTTCTTAAAATTTTGAGATATATAATCTCTCACACATAATTCTTGCGTTTTCCGATTTATTTATATTTTTGTCATGTTAACACATTTAAAAAAACCTATAAAATAATAATTATTAAACAATTTTCACTTACCTATTTCACCGTTCTTTTTTAATAAATAATTCTTTTTTAATAAAAATTCACAAGTAATCACATCACAAAATTCACAAAAAAATTAATAATATTCCATAATGTGTATTATTAATTCACAAACTAGTATTATTAAAACGAGACTATTCTTTAAAAATGTGTATTATTATTATTAGAATGAGACACGTCTGTCATAGATGAATGTTTACTACTTTATGATGTGTTATTGATTTAACTTAACGCAGAGATGACCCTACAACCGTTATAGTGATGTTCCGTGTCGATAAAATCCTATCGATGTTTATGATTGTAGGAAAAGTTAACATTTTTTAGGAACTCGTTTATTCATTGACTACCATGTACGATTGATTAATAACATAACATCACGCCTTTTTATCCCCGAAGGGGTAGGCAGAGGTGCACATTATACCACTGTACAATGTAACACCCACTTTTCACTATATGTTATGAGTCCCATGTAATAGGGGGTGAGCCTATTGCCATATACCGGGCACAATTCCATACTCCGTGCTACTACTGAGAATATTTAAAAACCCATTAATACTTTGCCCGACCCGGGAATCGAACCCGAGACCCCTTGTCCGGCAGTCGCACTTACGACCACTCGGCCAACGTGGCAGTATTGATTAATAAATGGTGTCTGAATCGATTGTAAGGTTGGAAACATTTATTATTTGGGTTTTGAAATTTTTAATGAGTAAAAGATTTGCTTCTGCTACCCTATTTTATACCGGACGGTAGGCTCTTAATACAATTAGTGTACTGTGGTATAATGTCGAAACGTGGACAAAAATAAATTGTTTTTACAATTTTAATCCTATTTGTTTTCGTACAGTTGCATTAAGTACCCAATATGCACCTCTGCCTACCCCTTCGGGGATAAAAGGCGTGATTTTATGTATAAAACTTGATTTTTACTATTACCTGTTGACGTCTTTCGGGAGCGTTCAGTATACACCTTTATATTTAATACCTACTAATATTTTTAAAGCCTATGTTTTGTTATTGCGATTGATCCTGTTTAGCAATAAAACGAATAATATAAATAACTGTCTCCCTTTCCAGGAAATAATATTCTAAAATCCAATATTATATTTTAAATTGAAATTGAGTACCAGAGCTGCACAAATTAGTAAATCCTTATCCTTACTAATATTATAAATCGGAAAGTGAGTTTGTTTGTTTGTTTGTTCCGCCTTCACGCCGTAACTACTAAACCAATTGCTTTGAATTTTTGCAGACGTAAAGATAGAAGTCCGGCTTAAATAAAAGGGTACTTTTTATCCCGGAAAAATTTCATAATCCCGAGGGAAAACAAAAGTATTGGTATAGATGGCGCTGAATGTATTGGTATATGTCACATAGGCTACTTTTTATCCTTTTGTGACGCGAGCGAAGGCGCGGGTAAAAGCTAGTATAATATAAAATAGTAATAATATTAAATGAACTTATTAAAAAAAACAATTAATGAAAAGTACAGAAACCTCAACTACTTTTCTAACCTGTTTTGCTCTTATCCAGTTATTCTTAATTTTAATCATCTTTAGTTCAACAGTTTAACACAGTCTATCTAAATATTTAATATCTACATAGATTTTTCTATAAAAACTAGTTGTCCTTGAGTTTCAATCAAGTTTAGTTTAGTCTGAATAGACTTAAGATTATAATACAAACATAATGCCACTATTTTAAATCCTCGAAGGTAAATACGGAGGTACACAAATATACAATTTAACAACGACTCTTCACCTATTATGTTATGAGTCCCATGTAATAGGGAATGAGTCTATTATCGTGTACACACGGTTACACATCGAGCTTTACATAACCAGTATAAACTGAACGTTAAATGTGCGAAAAGACGATGCGACGCGACACCAGGATAAACTGGTTTTGTATAGGATGTATGGCCGTGTGTACAATAAGGTAGATGGCTAATTTTTATTTCAATATCCGTCTGGTAAATTATTTAAAAATATTAGACACGTATGTTTTTATTTTCTCACAGAAACAAATCTTTCGACGATGTATTGATTTGAAATATCACGTGACGTCATTCTAGGTACGTTTTATACGTAAAAATGACGTAGTTGGCTCCCACTCCTGATATAAGGTGCTCTATAATTATTAGCCACGGCTTTAATGGGAGGTAGTGTTATGTTTACAGATTACAATTGTGAAGAAATTGCCCCGGACCAGTTAATTACATACAGTAATTAAGTAAACATTGACTACATTCTGCATAATGTGGTTCACAAATTACGCGCGATGCGTCGCTTAGTCAATGAAAACAATTGCTATCTCTTTCCACGTGTACTGAGAATGAAAACGGAAATCAGCTGACTAGTTCGTCACTATCTAATCTACTAGATACTCAATAGGCAGGCTAACAAGGGTTTTAAAAGTGCAATTACTTACCAGGTACGGCATTCTTCCGAAAAGATGATGTAGGTAAATAAGATTATAAACTTCCCATCTGACTATATTCGCAATAAACGATTTGAATTTGAATTTAAATTTAAAAAAATCTTTGTTTCTTATAACTAAAAGAACATAAGTATTACAAAATAAAAAGTTTATCGATAAAAATCATCGATAGCACGAGCCCATCCCTATTGTCCTTGATCGTTTACCTAGTTTTAAGAGGTTATCTAGTCATGTATTTCTATTAACATAAAATAATATATTTATTTTACTGTGTCAAGTTAACGGGATCTTACATATAAAGGTCTAGGAATTTTTTGGGGGTCAATCTGATTTTTATCCAATACTAGCCTGTACCCGCCACTTTGCCCGCGTATGCCTGTTTTTAGTCGCGGAGAACCTAACGGGTTACCGGGGCTCCGGCTCGATGTGCAGGAGAAGGAACGGGGTGGTTTTTAGTCAGTAAGAGTCTGACACTCCCTCCCGCCTCACCCAGGTAGGAGAAGTCATTCGATGATTTTCCCCCCTTAAAAAAAATGTCTTTTGTTATTCCATGGGAGCATTTAATCGGTATAAAATCTATCCTATCAAGTAAGTACTTAAGCCAAAGTACCAGCCCTGCTTGTGTACCAAATTTCATCAAAATCCGTTCAGTAGTTTCAGCGTGATTGACGGACAAACATCCAAACATCCAAACATCCAACATCCAAACATAAGTGTGGGAGAGCCATGCTTCGGCACGAATGGGCCGGCTCGACCGGAGTGATACCACGGCCTCACAGAAAACCGACGTGAAGCAACGCTTGCGTTGTGTTTCGTCGTGTGAGTGAGGTTACCAGAGGCCCAATTACCCTCCCCTTCCCCAATCTCCCCAATCCCTGAATCCCCAACGATCCTCAAACTCCTAATCCCCAAAAGGCCGGTAACGCACTTGTAACGCGAAGTGTCCATGGGCGACGCCGATTGCTTACCATCAGGTAATCTGTCTGCTCGTTTACCATTATTTTATAATATTAGTGTAATAATGTCGTTAGTCGAATATAGTAGGCGCAACTGTCGACTGTCGAGAAAAGGTATTCAGGTTCGGTTTTTGGTTGGAGTAACTATTATAGAGTTTTTACAACTTAACGTGAATAATTACATAAATATGCTAATTATACTAGAATTGTGCCCGGTATATGGCAATAGTCTCACCTCCTATTACGTGGGACTCATAAATAGTGGAAAGTGGGTGTTACATAATTGTACAGTGGTATTAAGTGCCGTAATGTGCACCTCTGCCTACCCCTTTTATGTAAATGCTAACTAAACATGTTATCTGATAGAATTACACATATACAATCTTAAACACCCATTTTTATTTAATAATCTTGACTCGGAATTCTCGGAAATCTTTAAATTTCTTATCGGATAAGCCGGTAAACGAGCAGACGGATCCCCTTTAATTGAGGGCGAAAAATCATCTAATGACTCTTCCCGCCTGGTTGAGGCGGGAGGGAGTGTCAGACTCTTACCGACTAAAAACCACCCCGTTCCTACTCCTGCACTTCGAGCTGTAGCCCCGACCACCCGTTAAGTCCTCCACGGCTCCGTATCAGCATCAGCACTATTGGGCCCCATCTGTGGTGGTTTGATGGCAGACGATCCCATAATAAGCAATCGGCGTGGCCCATGGACACCCGAAACTCCAGATGCATTATAACTGCGTTGTCGGCCTGTATGGGGTAAGGAATTTGGAAACTGAATCATCAACGATGATTCAGAGATAGATTGGGTACCTCCGGTAACCTCACTCACACGACGAACCACAACGCAAGCGTTGCTTCACGTCGGTTTTCTGTGAGGCCGTGGTATCACTCCGGTGGAACCCCCCATTCGTGGCGAAGCATTATAAATAAAGCGAATTATAAATGAAACAAATTAGTATTAAAAATTTAATTATTTATTAATGACTCATACATAAATTAATATTATATTATCTAGATTATAGTCCTTACTTACAATTATACATATATTAAATACTTTATAAATGATTTTGTAACTTATACTTAGATGTTTAAATAAAAAATATTTGATTTTTGTTTTCTTTTTTTATGTCATAAGCCGGTAAACGATCAGACGGATCACCTGATGGTAAGCAATCGGCGTCGCAAATGGACAACTGGAACACCAGAGGCGTTACAAGTGCGTTACCGGCCTTTTGGGGATTAGGAGTATGAGGATCGTTGGAGATTCAGGAATTGGAGAGATTGTGGAAGGGGAGGGTAATTGGGCCTCCGATTTATTGATTGGAACTCTTAAACTACAGGATGGATTTGTATAAATTTTTAAATTTTTTATATTATAATGCTTTTTAAAGACAATTTATATAAATCGGTGCACACAATATCATTACAGTGCCTTTAGCCAAACGCCACTTTAGCGCTTGTCTACAGAGAGAGTAGAAATCAAAACGTATGGGGATGACACTGACAAGTGTCATAAATTCCATATAATTTGATTTTCTGTTCTACATGTAGACAAGCGCTAAATGGCATTTGGCTACAGCTGCAGGAGTTATAAATCACAGGTTTCGGTAACTCATATTCATTGATACATTATAAATAGACGAATCATTATTAAGAGAATAGTTTTATTAATTTAAGTTTTGTTCATTTGTCACAGACAGTGTGTTTGATGAGATCCGAAATTTTGGCCCTGAAAAAAAATACAAAATGTTAATAACTATTACGGTTATTTATCTGTTAGTTTTAAGTCTGTTTCCTATCCCAATTTTCTATTTGTTACTACACACTGTGTCACTATATTATTATTACTTTTCGTGCTCCAGGTCCACAGGAAGAAATTCCAATAGGAATAGGTGGTACCTTTGTACTATAATTTTATGTGTGTATGTATGTGTTGTCCTTTATGTTTTATGTGTATACATAAATAAATAAATAACTAGCGACCCACCCCGGCTTCGCACGGGTACAATATGCATGTATTATACATATAAACCTTCCTTAAGAATCACTCTATCTATTAAAAAAAAACCGCATCAAAATTCGTTGCGTAGTTTTAAAGATCTAAGCATACATAGGGACAGACAGACGGCGGATAGCGACTTTGTTTTATACTATGCAGTGATAAGAATGAAATATTTGGTGCATTAAGTACATACTTTAAAACTTAATAAAAAGGGGCAATAAGTAACCAAAGAATATAATTTCACTCTTAAGGCCAACTTTTTCTTGCAGCGCCATCTGCCGGGCTGATTTGTGAATCTAAACCATTCCCAGATCAGGGGGTTCAAGGGTGAACACACACAAAAAATTTCATCAAAATCGGTCCAGTCGAAAGTCGACTTCTGTGAGTGAGTATGTGGGGATCTGGGAATGGTTTAGATTCACAAATCAGCCCGGCAGATGGCGCTGCAGTCGATGTTTAGGTTATTTATCCTAAACAGCTGAACTAATTTGAATGAATTTTTGTTTATACATTCAAGTGGATATGCAGGACCACTTCTGTTGGGTCCGCTAGTTATATATATAAAGAATATCGACAAACAAGAGGTTAAATAAATATAGAAATGTTTTAAACTTACTTGTGAACATAGAAGTTGGTTTCCGTAATATTAAATTGTGAATAGATGAACACCGGTATCTGATCCACTAATACCCATACTTCGTCTTTAATTACCTTTAAATCTGAAAAAGAAATACAATGTGAAAATACTTCATTGATCAAAACCAAATGTTCGCAAGATTTTGTTTTATAAATTCATTCTTTTATATGCATTGTATATGAAAAACAAGCTTCTACCAGGGACGTCGCCCGCGTTATCGTGGGTTTTTTTAAGGGGGGAAAATCATCGATTGACTGCTCCTGCCTGAGTGAGGCGAGAGGGAGCGTCAGACTCTTACTGACTAAAAACCACCCCGTTCCTACTCCTGCACTTCGAGCACGCCTTTTAACCCCGAAGGGGTAGGTAGAGGTGCACATTACAGCACCTAATACAACTGTACAAGGTAACACTCACTTTTCACTATTTATGTTATGAGTCCCATGTAATAGCGGGTGAGACTATTGCCATATACCGGGCACAATTCCAGTCTCCGTGCTACTACTAGTAGAGATAGTTTTTTAAAACCCAATAATACTTTGTCCGACCGATACTCGACCAACGACGCAGTCATTTTTCATTTAGGTTGAACCAGTGGTTGGGCAACTGGCAGCCGCGCAATGTGTCGCGGGTTTAATTCCCGCACGGAACAACTCTTTGTGTGATCCACAGATTGTTGTTCCGGGTCTGGGTGTCATGTGTATGTGATATTGTATGTTTGTAAACGCACCCACGACACAAGAGTAAATCCTAGTGTGGGGCAACGTTTTTTTTCAAAAAAAAAAAAATTGCTCGAGTTGTCGATGTACTACAGGCCTTAAGATGATTTTTTTACGGAATAAGAGGCAAACGAGCAGACTGATCACCTGATGGTAAGTGATCCAGGCCACCTATAGACACTCGCAACACCAGTGTGTTTACTCTTGAAACCAAACTCAATGTCAATGCAATTTTAATCCAATAGAATCTCAATAATTATTCAATGTCAAAACTATACAACTCCAATCGTAGCTGTTAAAATAGCATTCAGAGTACGGAATATAAAGCCAAACTCAATACCATTTAGTTCATTCAATATCCACGCAATACGGATGCAATGGGCGCTAGTGTTGCAACTCAAGAGTACGAAATTTTACAATTCCAATGTCGATCGATCGGAATTGGATTCAAGAGTAAGACGCTCGTGGTGTCCGACAGAGGGCGCGGCGGGCTCGCAGCGCAAGTAGCAACACGGAGGCGAGCGCCAACGCCAGCCAGTGAGCTGCACGACGTCGCTGCGACCGCACACGCTGCTCATGAGGAAGAACCCCTCTGTGGTTCGAAACTAGTAGAGCTTTTCTCAGTATATTCACGTGAGTAACCCGCGATTTTAGTTAATTTAGTATGTCTCACGATAGTTATTATAAAAACAGATCATTCTACAGAGTGCCAAGCACGAATAACTATCGCATTCGTAACGTAATAGTATCGAGCGCGTTCGGCGCTCTGATTGGCCGGCTCAAGTGAACCAACCAATGAGAACGCTTAACTCGCTCGATACTGTTACGATACCAATGCGATAGTTATTCGTGCTTGGCCCTCAGTTATGGCCTGCCAACCATCTATACAGATGGATATGCTGTCGTAAGGGTCGATGGCAAAAAGACGCAGCAGGTATCAGACCAATTTCTCAGAGCACTCCCCGTGGTAGAAGCGATAGAAGATGTACACACGGCCACACATCAATCTATACAAAACCAGTTTATCCTGGTGTCGCGTCGCATCATCTTTCCGCACATTTAACGTTCAGTTTATACTGGTTATGTAAAGCTCGATGTGTAGCCGAGTTTATAACGAATTAGATATACGTTCCTTACCAGATATATACACCAGTTTGGTGTGGCTCTGAGCCACTACTATAGTAGTCTTGGTAGTTAGGGGAATTTTAGTGTTCCAACACATCACTCCATCTTGAGCCACATTCGCATAGAATAATGCTTTGCTACCGCTGTGGAAATCGTGGGACCCACTCTGGGAGAACGCACCTCGTACGCCCTCTAACTGCAAAATTGATATAAGATTAATAACTTCGACTGCGCCGAAAAGCATAAAAATTTTTTTTTTTTAAACGTTGCCCCACATTAGGAGTTTCTCCTGTGTCGTGGGTGCGTTTACAAACACACAAGTTCACATACTCAATGACACCCAGACCCGGAACAACAATTTGTGGATCACACAAAGTGTTGTACCGTGCGGGAATCGAACCCGCCACACGTTGCACGGCAGCCGGTTGCCCAGCCACCGCACCAACCGTGCAGTCAAATACCTACTTTATAAATTATTATGTTTTCGGCTTACTCTTGTACTAATTTGACGAGGAACTCGACTAGTTTCAAGCCATGCTAGAGGCTTATATTCATGAGCGGCATTTCGCGACCCGCGAGGCGGCGACTGTCGCGCTGCTACTGGCTACTCGATGCGCGCCCTCTGCCGTGATTCACGCGCACTTTCCTCCACTCGTGATGTCGGCGACGGCGGCGCGCGTGAATCGAATCCCGGGTCGACGCAAAAATAATGTTACATATGAGCCTCTAGCATGGCTTGAAACTAGTCGAGTTCCTCGTCAAATTAGTACGTGAGTAAGCCGAAAACATAATAATTTATTTAGTATGTCTCACGAAAGTTACTATATAAACATACCTACCTTATTGGCGATGTATTAAAGAAGGGCCAAATTAAAAGTACTCTTAACCGACGAGCATGCATGAAAAGCTTAATGACTGTTGATGAAGCGAAACAGGTATGTAGGAATGGGGTAGTAGCCAGGGTATGAAAATTAAAAATGTAAATAGTCCGTCAGTTAGAAAATGAAAAAATATTAGACACGTATTTTTTATTTTGTTGTATATTAAAATGATACTTAGATATAACGAAACAAAGTTTAGGAGTGGGAGCTAAAACGTCATTTCTACCTATAAAATGTACATAGAAGTGACGTCACGGGACATTTCAAATCAATATATCGTCGAAAGTATTCGTTTCCGTAAAAAATTAAAATTACGTGTCTAATGTTTTTAAATAATCTACCAGACGGACATTAAAATAAAAATTATTCATCTATTATTGTAAAAATTGGCGTTCCATGGTCCCATGGGAGACAGGCGTGGAGTTATGTTTGTATATATGTATGTATATGTACCTACCTTATAATTTTTTGCAAAATCTGCACTCTGATCTTTCAAAATCTCGTTTGAGACAGAATACTCCTGGGTAGATATGAAAGGATGATAGTATGCTGTCCTTTTCCCATCATTGTCAGGGTCTGAGAGAGCCACGCTGAAGAGACCGTCCTTCCAGTTGATGACATGGTCTGAAAAGTCAAAGTCAAAGCATTTATTTCAACATAACATCACGACTTTTATCCGCAAAGGGGTAGGCAGAGGTGCACATTACGGCACTTACTGCCACTGTACGATGTAACACCCACTTTTCACTATTTATGTTATGAGTGCCATGTAATAGGGGGTGAGCCTATTGCCATATACCGCGCACAATTCCAGACTCCGTGCTACTACTGAGAATATTTAAAAACCCAGTAATACTTTGCCCGACTCGGGAATCGAACCCGAGACCCCTTGCCCGGCAGTCGCCGACCGACCACTCGGCCAATGAGGCAGTCTAGGCATTTATTTCAATTAAACCATAATTTGGTACTTTTGAAACGTCAACAAATACAAAATAAATAATAATCTGTCAGTCGGTCCATCAGTGAAGCTAGGTAAAGCTTGGTGCTCATTCCAAAATGTAGATTCGAATGGAGAAGAACAAGCAAGAAACTCCATTCGTTACTCTTTTTAAAAAAAGTATGTTCTACAATGTCTCTGATTCATATTTCAATACTGTACGCATATGTAAGAACAATGCAACGACACGCTTGACGCATTATACTAATAACATACTAAAATAAAAATCTTATAGTCTAACATGGTGCTTGCATATCATCATCATTATAAGCCCAGGTTTCCTTACGATGTTTTCCTTCACCGTTTGTCAGTGGTGTCTAAATAATCTTAGAAAGTACATATAACTCGGAAAAAGTCACTTTGGTACTTGCTGTTGGTAGGTTTCGGACCCTCACCCTCATGTATGAGAAGTACGTCATAAGCCTCCGAGCCACCACGACACACATTGAGTTATATTCGGAATCAACTACCTTTCTCCATTGTATATGATGTAATGTAACTGAATATCGCAGAGAAATATCGCTCAATTGATCAGACAGTTCACCTGATCTAAGCCGATGTAATCGTCGCCGCGCATAGACATCCGCAACACTAGAGGCAATTTTTTTAAGGGTGGAAAATCATCGAATGACTGCTCCCGCCTGGGTGAGGCGGGAGGGAGTGTCAGACTCTTACTGACTAAAAACCACCCCGTTCCTTCTCCTACACGTCGAGGCGGAGCCCCGGTAACCCGTTAGGTTCTCCGCGACTCCGAATCGGCAACAGCCCTTTTTGGCCCCATCCGTGGTGGTCTGATGGCTCTTTGAGGAGGTCGCGCGCATTGCCGTCTTTTTGGTGGTTAGGGATTGAGGACTGGGAAGATTAGACTGGGAAAGGTAGTTGATAAGTTTTTTTTTTATTGGGATAAGCCCGCCACAACCTCCCAAAACCGCTGCAACTCCTGTCAGCCAGGATCTACAGTAGATACAACCTTGAAAACACCGGAACACTGAAGTCCGGCGCGTCCCAGGGACATGAAAAACTGTCTTAGTTCCCGCAACAAATTGAATCAGATTATAGGGAAGAGAAGAAAAAAAAACGATAGTTTCCACTTTCCTCGGTGAATTACTGCAGGAGACAGAATGAATTAATCCCAAAGGCACAGAAAGAGACTGTACAACTTGAAGAAGCCCAGTCATCAAGCTCCACGTAAATTTGACAAAATTCTAAGTGGGTCCTATGTGTGAGCTGGTAATCGGTAAGTACCTATGAAATAAAATAACTTACGTGCGACCGTAAAGTTAGTGGCTCCGATATCAAAGTTGAAAGTCTGATGACTGATTCTCCATAAAGACCTTTGTTTCAAAGAGAAGACGATTATGCCGTTCCTTGCTAGATCATTGATGTAGGCATAAGCGTCGTCACATTTTGAAGGCAAAACATCTACAGTTATTGATGTGAGACCTGCAAAAGAATTAAAAGTATGATCAGTTCTGAATAGGTAAACCACTACTGATTACTGATCTGATCTTGACTCTTTAAAGAAAAGCAGTGGCGTAGCGTATCTTGGCGGAGCCTGTATAAAAACTCGCCACGTCGGCTTTCTGTGAGGCCGTGGTATCATGCCGGTCGAGTCGGCCTAATCGTGCTGAAGCATGGCTCTCCCACACTTAAAGCCCAAGTCAAAATCAAAGTCAAAATCATTTATTTCAATTAGGCCAGAATGGCACTTTTGAACGTCAACAAAAAAATTAAAACTGAAGCTATTTGCTCATTCCAAGGTGTTCCATAGGTTACTCTTTTTCAATCAGGTGCACCATACAATTTACTAGTTACATAGTTTTGCTCTTTGGATTGTGCGAGAACAAAGTAACACTAAAATCCAGTCAAAGTGGTCAAAAAAGAAAATAACCTTAAGGAAAATAATACAGTCTGGAGCTGATGAGCCCCAGTTGACGGCGCCCGTTCACGAACATGACACGTACACCAGCACCGCCCAACTCAACCATATTTTGAAGAGGTAAACCGGGGGTGTTACTGATTACTGATCTGATCTTAACTCTTTTCTTGGCGGGGCCCTGTATAGGCCTGTGAGGCCGTGGTATCACTCCGGTCGAGCCGGCCCAATCGTGCTGTAGCATGGCTCTCCCACACTTAAAAGACTGTGTACTGCGATTGTGAATTGGTCAAGAGACTTGACTGCACGGTTGGTGCGGTGGCTGGGCAACCGGCTGCCGTGCAACGTGTCGCAGGTTCGATTCCCGCACGGGACAACACTTTGTGTGATCCACAAATTGTTGTTTCGGGTCTGGGTGTCTTTGTGTATGTGAACTTGTATGTTTGTATACGCACCCACGACACAGGAAAAAATCCTAGTGTGGGGCAACGTTTAAAAAAAAAAAGAGAGAAATTTACCTGAAGTTGTTCCATTAACAAGCACATCCATAGGTATTTCATGTCGCAATATTTCTGTATCAGTCTCCAGGTCGTATATTATGATCTGTGGCGCCCTCTTCTGTTCGAAATTATCTGGAATATAATCATCATAAAACATGAGTAGGTATCCTAAAAACACAAAACTGTGTTTGTATGTGACTGCCTCGTTGGCCGAGTGGTCGCAAGTGCGACTGCCGGGCAAGGGGTATCGGGTTCGATTCCCGGGTCAGGCAAAGTATTACTGGGTTTTTAAAAATCTCATGGAGTCTGGAAATGTGCCCGGTATAGGGCAATAAGCTCACCCCCTTTTTCATGGTACTCATAACATAAATAGTGAAAAGTGGGTGTTACATTGTACAGTGGCATTAAGTGCCGAAACGTGCACCTCTGCCTACCCCTTCGGGGATAAAAAGGTGTATGTGTTTGTATGTCAAGATCAATGTAAAATTAATGTTTATCAGAGAAGAAAGAACTATCTATCGCGTATTTTGACATATGTGGCACAAGTCACAACCCTACCCTCATTCTCGCTCTATTTACTGACAGTCCTGGGTGACAGACAGCAAAGCGATAGAAATACAGAAACATGTCATTCTTTTTTTATATATATTTGGTAAGGGCCTTAAAAATAGGTGGACACAGTCTCATTTTATTCTGAGCGGGGAAAATCATCCATGACTTCTCCCGCCTTGGGTTAGGCGAGAGGGAGTGTCAGGCTGTTTAAAAACCACCCCGTACCTATTCTTGCTCTTCGAGCCGGAGCCCCGACAACCCGTTAGGGTTTTCGCAGCTCCGTAAATCTCTCTAAACAACGACTGTGGCACCTATGCCTTTAGCCAAACGCCACATTAGCGCTTGTCTACAGAGAGGGTAGAAATCTAAATGTATGTGGATGACACTGACAAGAGTCAAAATTTACGTCAATCCGTTTGTTACGTCAAAATTTACGTTTAATTATTCTAATTGAGGTTCACCAGAATACTCCAGTACTGTGGGAATCATGCCAATCAATCAATGGGACATGTTGTCGGCGTGACGTCGTTGCGAGCACTGCGGATCCGGCAGCTCGTAGCTAGATACGCGGAGGACCGTGGACGAGCCGTACCCACTTACAGGTTGATACCGTATCTGATTTGATATAATATATCATTACGTGCTACACTGCTAAGTAAGTACCAAGTAAGCTTTTTATAGCGTGTGTCATCATCATCGTGAATGTAAAATAATACGTTCCGAAGGGAACTCTTTGTTAAAAAACCTCTTTTGTAATTTGAAAATACGCACGAAGCACGATAAGAAAAAACATGGGAGCGTAGCTTTCTCGCTAAAATTAAAAAATCGAACACCGTCCGCGCCTCGCTCGAGCGGGCTCCGCGCTCGCGCCAACAGTCGCCGCCAAAACTTTTACGCCGTAATTTTAAGTACTAACACTAGTTTTATAAGTTGTTTGTTTACTAACCAAATGGATTTAAATTGTTCGAAATAAATAAATTAAATTAAATTAAAAATTTACCGAGTGAGCGTGTATTGAAAACGCTTTGCGTTTCCGCCAATTTTCTCAGTGTCTTGACTTCATTGTGAACAACATACAGTCCTATAAATCTGCTACAACGTTCAGAGGCCTTAGTACAAGATCTACGTTTAAAGTATTAGTGCTTAGTATGAGTATGCGTTCGGCATTTCGGCAATCTGATTGGCCGGCACCAATGAAGCAACCTATCACAGCGCCGAACGCGTACTCCTTACGATTACTTTGTAGTATACAAAAATATTGATAGTAAAAATTACAAATATAAGGTGCTATATGCTTTAATGGGAGGTAGTATTGTGTTTACAGATTACAACAGTGAAGAAATTTCATACCCCGGACCATCTAATTCAATTTGAGAAGATAAAGAAATTAAATAAACATTGCCTTTATTCTGCATAATGTGGTTCACAAATTACGCGCGATGCGTCGCTTAGTCAATGAAAACAATTGCTATCACTTTCCACGTGTACTGAGAATGAAAACGGAAATCAGCTGACTAGTTCGTCACTATCTAATCTACTAAATACTCAATAGGCAGGCTAACAAGGGTTTTAAAAGTGCAATTACTTACCAGGTACGACATTCTTCCGAAAAACTGATGTAAGTAGGTAAATAAGATGACAAACTTCCTGCCCAACACACTTAAAACAGGCTTTTGACTGTCAAGTTAGCGTAAGAATCGTAATTTTTTTATTTATTTTTATTTAAAATAAATCAAATAACGATAAACTGTAACTTAGCGTATTTTAAAGTTAATAATCTTATTTACAACAATTGCATCGTATTTACAGTTATTTACCTAGTTATCTACAAAACTTGCACAAGTTCACCTTCGCGTTGTAGGTACACAAATGAAGACACGCTTCCGAACATGTCATATCACATTATTTAATGTGTCCGTTTCACTTTTACTTTTCTAAATGCGCGTTTCATTTCGCGTTTGATTTAGCGCGTGATTTGAAAGACGTGTAATTGTCGCTAACATCGTAAACTCCGGCAGCATCTCTTGTGCTTGCAAGACGATGACGCCGAAAGAACTCTAACACTTCCTCTTCGAGTTCGGCCGATAATGGAGTCCTGCCTGCCAGGTCAAAGTGGCCGTATTCTCGGAATCAATACACCGCATCCAGGATGATAATATGATGACTCACTCACACATCGAACCTCTGGTATAAATTAATCGCATGTGCAGTTATGGAGGTACACCCGCGGTAGCACTACACCATTTCAATATATTGTTGATTTGAATTTCGCCGCATGGGAGGTACCTATTTTACGTAGCGCGCGCGTATACCCGACACTGAAACTAACGTCCTATAACGTCCAATTAACTAATAGACAGGGGTTAACTGGGCTACTGGCGGGCGGCGGGCGGGCGGCGCGTGCGACGACTCGACGAGTTCTGTTCTGGGGTGTGCGCGGGGGTGTGCATGCATTATTGCATTGGCGTGCTCCTCGCCACCTAGCCGGGCGCCTGCGTCGGCGCCGAGCTGTCTCGTTCTCGGACGCCCGTCATACACTGTTGCCATTCTTCTTTCAATCTGCTATTATCTCGATAAGAATGGCAACAGTGTATGACGGGGCGGCGCCCGCGTTCGATGCAGTGCGGCAACACGGGATGGTTTTATGCCAATAAATCAATACAAATTAATAAGTAGATTTTTTTGTACTCATACATAATCAATAATTTATACCTACTATTATAATCTTCTAACACAACACGCTTCCCATTAAAGCCGTGGCAGCATGTAGCACCTTATATAATTGCTCCGGTAATTAATTGAATGTGTAACAGTTTTAAGTATATTTATTTTGCGTTTAGAGCGAAATCTTCCCACTGATGATGATATGATTCCCGCAATGACGCATTTAGGGGGCGGGGCCTATTAGTTACATGTGTGAGTGTACCCATGTAGCTATGTCTGTAGGGAAGAGTATTTTTTTTTATTTAACTTTATAAATATATGTAACAGACTTCGAAATCAAAAAGAAAGGAAGTTTTTAATTCGACCTGTATGTATGTATGTAGGTATTATATATTTTTTTCTTGTATAGAAGCACTATTTTTATGGATTGTCAGTATGCATATGTGAGCACCATGTTAGACTATAAGACTTTTTTTTATTTATTGTTTTGTTTATTTAGTATGATTTTTCTAATTTGTATAATGCGTCAAGCGTGTACGGTGTTTAGTCCACCAAGAGACTATACAAAGCGTGTCTTTGCATTGTTCTCACATATACGTACAGTATTGGAATATGTATCAGAGACATTGTAGAAAATACTTTTTTAAAAAGAGTAACGAATGGAGTTTCTTGCTCGTTCTTCTCCATTCGAATCTACATTTTGGAATGAGTTAGCTAGCTTCACCTAGCTTCACCTAGCTTCACCTAGCTTCATTGATGGACTGACTGACAGACTATTATTTATTTCATATTTGTTGACATTTCAAAAGTACCAAATTATGGTTTAATTGAAATAAATGCTTTGAGTTTGACTTTATGTATGTATTATTGTACTGTGTGTTTGTGTGCAGTTATCTTGCAAATGGCTGAACCAATTGTGATGCGGTTCGGAAAAGTGTTTATTACACTTAGAAAAACGGTTATTTTAAACGTATGTGGTTATTTAAAGAATTTTGTAGTATTTTTAACTTCTGACTAAACCAAGTTAAATTGTTATACAATTAATGTAGTGTTTTTTTAAGGGGCGAAAATCATTAGGCTCCCGCCTGGGTGAGGCGGGAGGGAGTGTCAGCCTCTTACTGAATAAAAACCACCCCGTTCCTTCTCCGGCACGTCGAACCGGAGCCCCGGCAACCCGTGTTAGGTTCTTCGCGGCAATTAATATAGTAAAGTAGTATAATTCAATGACATAATAATATTATTTTATATTCATGACACATCTGCATAAAAAACAATTTTCTCTTATTTCGTCTTTCTGCCCTTATCCCGTCTACTTGGGTCTTCTAACAAACATTATCCTATCACAATCTCTTCTCACATTCATAAAATATGACCGTTCACAAAATCTATTGATCTTCTTTGGTCTTTTGAAAAGACCATGGTATACTTACTGGGGACTTCTATAAGACCAGTATCAACCATCCATAGTCTTTTGCAGGAGTCCACTCGTGGGCGATAGACGGAAACGAAGGAGTCTATGCTGTCAGTATTAGGGTATGGCTTCAGAAGTGGTGATGTACCAGTTTCCAGCGGCACTACGTTCAAGGTTGATGGGATCCCTGAAACGTAAAAGAAGAATTTTATTATAGAGGTTAATGTGTATGTATACCGGTGGGGCAAAGTATTACTGGGTTAAATAAATTCTCAGTCTGGAATTGTGCACGGAGTCTGGAATTGTGCCCGGTATATGGTAATAGGCTCACTCCCTATTACATGGGACTCGTAGTGAAAAGTGGCATAATGTGCACCTCTGCCTACCCCTTCGGGGATAAAAGGCGTGATATTATGTTATGTTTATGTGTTTTTATTATAAGTATCGTTAAACATGCTGAAGCTCTACTACTTTAGCCTACCAAGCGCCTTTAGCTGCGTGACATCGCCGGGACCGATGCTGCCCATGAGGAAGAGTCCTTCTGTGAATCGGAACTAGTAGTTTTCTCAGTGTATTTACGTGGGTAACTCGGAATTTTTAATTAGATAATGGAGGTTTACGTCTTCTATGAAACACCCACTTTCTTTTAAGTAATTTAATTAGACTTATAGTTATAGTTCCAAAAGGTTACTAATAATTGATGTTATTGCGTGCCCCTGCCCGCATGTCTATCATTCGGCTTCTTTACCGCCGCCACCTTACACCGCGGCGGTGTCTAACAACAAGCGCTGAAGTCCTTAGAATATTGTTGCCTTCTGCGGTATACTACGGTAACCCGTGTCAGGTCTTTAAATACCGTGGAAGGAAATCCATTCCAATGCTCCGGCATCATCAATAAAGTACAGCAATTTATGTTGTACTAGCTTTTACCCGCGGCTTCGCTCGCGTCACAAAAGGATAAAAAGTAACCTATGTGACTATCCATCTCTTAAACTACCTTCAGTTAAAAAATCACGTTAATTAGTACCTCCGTTCTGCCGTTTAAGATAGGCAAACAAACAAATAGCTTTCGCGTGGAATTCGGATATATCGCACTATTTAGATTTTTCCAATTAGTAGGTAATACGTTGACTGGTTTTAAATAACATACAGCGCCATCTATACCAATACACACAGCGCCATCTATAACAATAATTTCGTTTTCCCTCGGAAATATCACATTTTTCCGGGATAAAAAGTACCCTATTATTTAATCCAGACTTTTAACTTTACGTCTGCAAAATTTCATAGCAATCGGTTTAGTAGTTACGGCGTGAAAGTGGAACAAACAAACAAACAAACTCACTTTCAGATTTATAATATAAGTAAGGATTTCTTAATCAATACGTTTGAATATCCATTAGTAAAATTGTAGCATAAAGGTGCTATACACCATCTTGCTGCTTTGGGTAATACGACAACCCATTTAGAACTTTATAGCATTGTAATTAAATCAAAAATGACTTACCATATCTCCTTCTGGGAACAGTAATAAATACTTTTTGGTTATAAACCTCGAAACCAATCGGTATATTGTTGTATTGTTTAAAGAATTGGAATTTCTCCTCGATTTCATCTCTGAAGAAGATACTGTCTAATTTCTTCTGTATAGGCTCGTCTTTTGTATCTGAAAAGAGATAGATAGAAAGATATTTATTATCCTTATTAATATCAGGGGTCTCGGGTTCGATTCCCGGGTCGGGTAAAGTATTACTGGGTTTATCATATCATATTACATGATCTGCCTCGTTGGCCGAGTGGTCGTAAGTGCGACTGCCGGGCAAGGGGTCTCGGGTTCGATTCCCGGGTCGGGCAAAGTATTACTGGGTTTTTAAATATTCTCAGTAGTAGCACGGAGTCTGGAATTGTGCCCGGTATATGGCAATAGGCTCACCCCCTATTACATGGGACTCATACCATAAATAGTGAAAAGTGGGTGTTACATTGCACAGTGGCATTGAGTAATGTGCTCTGCCTATCCCTTCGGGGATAAAAAGGCATGATGGTATGTATGAGGATATAGCATAAAAAAATAAAAAGCCTTTAAATATCAATGTGACATAAAACTCACATTTAAATACCTTTACCTCTATATGTATATACCTAATCTAAATAAATATGAAGATCGAAGAATAATAATTGTCAGATATGTATATTTTAATTGGTATGCTTGTGGGAAAATCCCTAACAACAAAAAACATCCGAGCTTTGACCTAAAAATTCTAAGGAATTGTTATTTTTACCGACTTCAAAAAATGGAGGAGGTACTATGTTCGGCTGATTGTTTTTTGTTTGTTTGCCGATTATTCCGCCATTTGTGGACCGATTTCCAAACTTCTTGTTTTGTTTGAAAGGGTATACTCCCGAGATGGTCCTTAATAATGATATAACTTAATGGCCACAAAATTGTAAATTGGGTAACTATTAAGTTTTTAATGAATAATTTTTTAGAACTTATGGCGCCGACTTCTAATTTATCAGTGAGTGAATAACCTATCAGTAATAATAATAGTTTGTTTGTTTTTCAGTTTTGACTTTTTGTTTTTTTTTATAGCATAAGCCGGTAAACGAGCAGACGGATCACCTGGCGGTAAGCAGTCGGCGTCGCTCATGGACACCTGGAACACCAAGGCGTTACAAGTGTGTTACCGGCCTTTTGGGGATTGGGAATTTGAGGATTGTGGAGGATTCGGGGATTCGGAAGACTAGGGATAGTAATTGGGCCTCCGGTAACCTCACTAACACGACGAAACACAACGCTTTTGTTTGTTATTAGTTTGTAGTTTTTTGAAGTGAATTTTTTAAACGCAGTTTTTATTTCTTTTTACTGTTCAATGTCTATGTACGGTTTACGTACACTAATTATGTTAATTAAACTTATTTTATTATGATGACTATACATATCGGACGATATTCCGTCGCGGCATTCAATTGTAGACCAGTGTGCACTTCAACTCGCTACCGAACGCACCACTGTGAGAATCACCTAACAATCTTACTTGTAACCTTTAAAAATAAACTTTTCGGGACTTCTAGAAGTGTTACACTCACAACTTCAAACTTAACTATCTACGAGTACTTTACTCCATAACAATTAACTATAAAAAGTAGTGTACAGTTCACTAAACTGTACAGTCTATCTAGTCAGTCCATCAGTGATTCTGTCGTGTCCCGGAACGCAGATCCATATGACGCGAATAGTGCTTATAAATTACAAAAAAAAAAAACATTTATCTTCGAAGGGGTAGGCAGAGGTGCACATTATTATCAATCAAAAAGTTCTGTGTTCTGTCTGAAGTTAGTACGAAGACAAAAAACTCAAAATACTTTATGCTACTCGGTCATTGAACTCAATATAAATCTAGTAAGTCAGGGCCTGTTTGATACTTAGTACGTATGATTAAGTTACTGTTGAGCACCGAACGCGGTCTCATTTCGATTACAACATAACATAACATCAAAGAAAGAAAGAAAGAAAAACTTTATTTCACACGCTAAAACAGGTGCCTCGTACAGATTTTACACATCCTTATCCTTACTTTCCTTACTTATATTATAAATCGGAAAGTGAGTTTGTTTGTTTGTTTGTTTGTTCCGCCTTCACGCCGTAACTACTAAACCGATTGGTTTGAAATTTTGCAGACGTGAAGTTAGAAGTCTGGATTAAATAATAGGGTACTTTTTATCCTGGAAAAATTTGATATTCTCGAGGAAAAACGAAATTATTGTTATAGATGGCGCTGTGTGTATTGGTATATATCACATAGGCTACTTTTTATCGTTTTGTGACGCAAGCGAAGCCGCGGGTAAAAGCTAGTAAGTTTATATATATCTACTAATGTCCCAAGTCTGCGGTGAAATGGGACCAGTTCAGCATGTGCAAGACAGGGCCTCGAGCTGGTATTCTACTGGCCCCTTAAGTGACTCGCGGACGAACAAGACACCAATCAGACAAAAACACAAAATAAAATGCACAAAACAAAACAAATATATAAAAACAAAACAAAACGCCTTTTATCAGGTAGGCAGAGGTGTACATTATGCCACTGTACCTACAATGTAAAACCCACTTTTCGCTATTTATATTTAGGGGTGAGCCTATTGCCATATACCGGGCACAATTCCAGACTCCGTGTTACTACTGTGGTTTTTTTTTAAAACCCAGTAATACTTTGCCCGACCCGGGAATTGAATCCGAGACCCCTTGCCCGGCAGTCACACTTGCGACCACTAAGCCAACGAGGCAGTCATTTCGATTACTTTTAATATGAAATAAACTGAGCGCTCTGAGGGTCAGTTTCAAGAGTGCTTAGGTACTATTAAAACCAATCACAATGTTAATGCAATTTCAATCCAATAAAATCTCAATAATTATTCAATGTCAACACTATATAACCCCTATCGTAGCTGTTAAAATAATATTCAGAGTACTTCAATACCATTAAACTCAATACCATTTAGTTCATTCAATATCCACGCAATACGGATGCAATGGGCGCTAGTGTTGCTATCGAGAATACTAAATTGTTACAATACCAATGTCGAATCGATCGGAATTGGGTTCAGGAGTAAGCCCCCTGACCTGAACTATCGGCGCGTTACTATCTGCGCGCTAAGAGCCATCAGACTACCACAGATGGGGTTGCCCGATACGGGGCCGTGGATGACCTAACGGGATACCGGGGCTTCGGCAGAAGAGCAGCAGTAGGAACGGGGTGGTTTTTAATTAGTTAGAGTCTGACACTACTCCTCGCCTCACCAAAGGCAAGAGAAGTCATTGGTTTGTAAATATAACTGAAGGAACTGCGAAGCGTCAATTCCAACGTACATATATGCAATTATGTGCACACCCACCCAGAGGTTTGCACAGAGATTTGAAGTAAGGTAGGCAGAAGGTATCACATGATTGATAATAAATTTGTCCTCGATTAATCTCGGAAAATAAAACTCCCGAAACATCATAATTTTGAGTAACTAATTAGGTTTAGTATTTTAAATCTATTCGTGTATAAAGTTGATCAACATAGGTACGACAAAGTTGCCAAGTTCTACGAAATATCATAAATAAATAGAACATAACATAACATCACGCCTTTTATCCTCAAAGGGGTTGGCAGAGGTGCACATTATACCACTGTAAGTACAATGTAACACCCACTTTTCACTATTTATGTTATGAGTCCCATGTAATAGGGGGTGAGCCTATTGCCATATACCGGGCACAGTTCCAGACTCCGTGCTACTACTGAGAATTTTTTAAAAACCCAGTAATACTTTGCCCGACCCGGGAATCGAACCCAAGACCCCTTACCCGGCAGTCGCAATTGCGACCACTCGGCCAACGAGGCAGTCATAAATAATAGTCATAAATAGATACAACTTAAAATTAACTAAAACAACTAATAAAAAAGATAGAAGAAAAAAAACGAAACTACGTCACAGTACCAATGGCGATCTATCGGAATTGGATTCAAGAGTAGAGCGTGGAGCATGTCCCAGATACACCGTTTTACACCGTCAAATTCGGCCAAAGAGACTGTAAATGACTAGTAAATGACGACCAGGCGAACATGAGGAGTATAGAAGTATAATAAACACAATATTGTGTCTCGCTCAACAAAAGTGACCCTACTTTATCAGTCAGAAAAATAATCACGCTCCCACCGTTTTTATTTCGAAGCAATGAATCGGAATCACTAGCGTTTTTTTTATTTTTCATTTCTTTATAAATATTTACTGATACCAGTATTTTGATAATTGGTAACATATATCGTATAAACGGCAATTTAGTTACCTTCAAAATGATAGCATTTTGTTGTTAAACGAATATTTTTTTACAAAATTATAGAAGGTTCAATAAAATGAAGATAAAAGTCAATGTCACCGTGTTCCTAAGTGTAGGTAGTATGTGATGACTACCTTTATTTATGTTTTTATTTATTTATAATCCTACCTCTCTTGCTAATTTAGAAGCGACCGACATTCTTGCTAAACACAAACAACACATATTTAAATCGTCATGTTTTCCTCAATTTGGCTTGTTTATTTATCGACAATATGGCCGGTCCGACTGGTAGAAAATGCCTGCAGCATTAAGTCCACCTATTTTTACATTTTGTGCATGAAGCATATACAATAAATAAATAAAACTTGACTGCACGGTTGGTGCGGTGGCTGGGCAACCGGCTGCCGTGCAACGTGTCGCGGGTTCGATTCCCGCACGGAACAACACTTTGTGTGATCCACAAATTGTTGTTTCGGGTCTGGGTGTCATTGTGTATGTGAACTTGTATGTTTGTAAACGCACCCACGACACAGGAGAAAATCCTAGTGTGGGGCAACGTTTTTAAAAAAAAAAAGTGTGGAAGAGTCATGCTTCGGTACGAATGGGCCGGCTCGATCGGAGTGATACCACGGCCTCACAGAAAACCGACGTGAAGCAACGCTTGCGTTGTGTTTCGTCGTGTGAGTGAGGTTACCGGAGGCCCAATTAACCTCCCCTTCCCCAATCTCCACAATTCCTGAATCCTCAACGATCCTCAAATTCCTAATCCCCAAAAAGCCGGTAACGCACCTGTAACGGCTCTGGTGTTCCAGTTGTCCATGGGCGACGCCGATTGCTTACCATCTAGTGATCCGTCTGCTCGTTTACCGGCTTATGCCATAAAAAACTAATATGATCACAAAATTAAATAGATTGCTAGTATATTATGTCTATTGTAGGTATTTTTATTTTGTCTCTTTTTATTGTGTACTTAACTACCCCATATCTGATTTCTTATAAATATTTCCATACAAAGGTTGTCTGGAAGAAATCACCATTGTGTGAATAGGAAAAATTTAACAAAATCTCAGTGGTAGCACGGAGTCTGGAATTGTGCCCGGTATATGACAATAGGCTCATCCTATACATGGGACTCATACCATAGATAGTGAAAAATGGGTGTAATGTACAGTGGTATAATGTGCACTTCTGCCTACCCCTTCGGGCATAAAAAGCGTGATATTATGTTTTTTTTTAAATTTGTAGGCACTATTCGCATCCCGCATATCACCCGACAAGAAATATCTCTTCGAGAATTACATGGTGTGATGTTTTGATTCTATGAGGTTGTATGCGCTTTTGGAGTTTGCTAACCTGGGCTTATAATGTCTAATTATAAGCTCAGGTTTCCTCTCGACATAGTATAAAGAAAAGGGAAGTAGGTTATCTTCATACAAATGCACCGCGTGCGGCTTATATGTGTGCGCCATAGTATCTATGCGTCGAGGCACGCACTCTTTAACAAAATCTTGACCCGTTTCTCAGTGCGCCAGTCAGGGCTAACACTGCACGAGGTAAGACAGTAGGCAATTATATCGCGGATTGGGAAGAAGATGGCCTACTTCCCTTTTCTTTATACTATGCTCACGATGTTTTCCTTCATCGTTTGTCGGTGTCAGTGGCGAGATAAATGAACTTTTTAGGCGTTACGAAGTTTGTCGGCTCAGCTAGGTAATAGATTTTTTTTAACTCTGCCCCACACTAGGATTTTCTCCCGTGTCGTGGGTGCGTTTACAAACATACAAGTTCACATACACATGACACCCAGACCCGGAACAACAATTTGTGGATCAACGCGAAACAAATGCAAACAACAATTTACGAATGGGCCGGCTCGACCGGAGTGATACCACGGCCTCACAGAAAACCGACGTGAAACAGCGCTTGCGTTGTGTTTCGTCGTGTGAGTGAGGTTACCGGAGGCCCAATTACCTTCCCCTTCCCCAATCCCTGAATCCCCAACGATCCTTAAACTCCTAATCCCCAAAAACCCGGTGACGCACTTGTAACGCCTCTGGTGTTCCAGGTGTCTATGGGCGACGCCTATTGCTTACCATCAGGTGATCCGTCTGCTCGTTTACCGGCTTATACCATAAAAAAATGCTCGAAAACAATGATAAAAATATAAAACATACTCACAAAGAACACCGTCAAAGTCGTAGTTAATTTGTTTCCAAGAAAAAACTTCACTGAAATATTTAAAACGATTATCTCCTATATAATATTGAGATTTACACACATTTATTAACAAAACTAATAGTAAAATAATATGAGGAAAAGCCTTTATTTTGATGTAATGCATTTTTTAAATATAACTTTGTAAGCGATCGTCTGTCGGCGCGGGTAACAGAATACTGGTTAAACTCGTTCTCAAATTAAATTACTTAAAGTCGGGTGATTTCATACTGTTGTATTAAAATTATATAATAATATATCTATCTATACACTTTTTTTTTTAAGGGGGGAAAATCATCGAATGACTGCTCCCGCCTGGGTGAGGCGGAAGGGAGTGTCAGACTCTTACTGACTAAAAACCACCCCGTTCCTTCTCCTGCACGTCGAGCCGGAGCCCCGGTTACCCGTTAGGTTCTCCGCGACTCCGAATCTATCTATACACTAGCTTCTGCCCGCGACTTCGTAATCGCGGTACCGTTTTCTCCCGTTCCCGTAGGATTTTTAGGATTTTTTCTGTCATAAGAACCTTCTCCTGACAATAATAAATACAACAAAAAAAGATCAGCCAAATTGAACTAGCTTGTATAAGACTAGTGTTAGCTATTTACACTAATGTTATTGGATGTTACAACACTTATGACTTCCGGAACCTAATCTGATTGATATTACCTTGCAATAGGAAGTCAATAGTGTTACTATTTGTAGTATTGTATTAAATTGCTAAAATATTATTTTGTAATTATTAGGACACTGCCATCTTTTGGAACCTAATTTAATTAATATTGTATAAAATAGCACAACCGGAAGTAAGTGTTCGAGATATAAGAATTTAGTTGATGTTACCCGCAAGTCAGGTTATATTTTGTTTTTCTTTGTTAAGCCAAATGTATAAAAGTCCATGTTTTAGAATTATTAGTTCAGTTCTTAACATTAAACAGAATAAGTCGTTACTCTGCCTGTTTTATTCTTAAAACCACCCTGATTGATATTATCAGAAGTGGGATTAGTTAAATAATAACGCAAGTTGGACGTCTTTTTTTATATTAATTTATTTTTTTTCTTTTCGGGTAAATAACCCACTCAGTAAATATGCCAAAACGTTTGCGGGATATAAGCAGTGAAACATCACTAAGTGCTACAGACAATTCGGTTGGAGAAAGTCCTGCAAGGCGGCGGCGCAGGACAGATTTGCGCTCAAGTAGCCGCAGATCACGTAAATATCAAAGTAAAACATCGAGGAAGAAGCATCGATCTAGAGGCTCAAGGGCCAGGCGTCACCGTGAAAAGCATACTGTGGATCGAATTCAGGCGACACCAGACGTGAGCAATGTCAGGCGGCTACAGACTCCAGTGGACGGGGTATCCAGCGTGAGGTCGGACAATGCCGTTCAAGAAGGTGCGCAGATTGTTCCAGAGGGATCGCACGTCGTGCCGAATGAGGGATGTACTGCAGGCAGTGAATGTAACAACGCCACGCCGGGTACATCGCAAAGTAACGAAATGGAAGGTAAAAGGGCTGTTGATTGCATAATACATGGCCTTGAAGATCGCACTTTGAGAGCAGGTGCAACTTCGGCCCGTTTTATTCAACCTGAAGAATTGTTGAAGTATTTGAAGGACATGTGTCGTGAACAAAGAGAATTAATGCCTAAAATAAATAAAAATAAATTTCCTTTCCCGGGACCGTCTATTGTTTGTAGCAACTGTAACAAAAGCGGACATCGTGCAAATCAGTGTCGAAAAACAAATAATTTACTACCGACATGTTTTAATTGTAAGGAATTAGGTCATCGAGTATTCCAATGTAGTAAACCGGTTATAAAATGCGATAAATGCCAAAAATATGGGCATAAAACTGCAGACTGTTTTTCTAATAAAAATAGAGACCCCGATTCTAACAAAAGGATAATGATGACTTGTTCTACAAATAATTCTCAACATAAATATTATAAAGACGCGTATATTAATAATAGTGAAATAAAAATACAGTGCTTTATTGATTTTGGGAGTGATTGCACGTTAATTACTGACAATTTAGTTGAACAATACAGTTTAAATGTTTGTCATGATTCGTTACCGGTTATAAAAGGAGTAGGTGAAAGCCATATTAAAACAATAGGCAAAACTGAATTGTTACTATCAATAGACGGTGTAGAGGCTATGGTCACGACATATGTAGTGCCTTCAGATCAGTTACATGTACCTATACTTGTGGGGCAGAACTTTACCGAGTTGCCACAAATTCTAGTTATTAAAACTGATAGTACACTGGATTTATTAAATCGTAACGACTTCTCTGATGATGTCTTGCCTAGCATTGAACATGAACATACCAATATTATCAAGTTATATACAAAATCTGATTACATTTGCACAGATAAAGGACAAATTAAATGTTATACTAAAGACGAGGATTCTACAATATTTGTGACAGGAAATTACCGATGCTATAAAGGATGTCAATACTGGGTTAAAGAGGGGGTATATAAAATAGTGAACAAACTTTGTGATATTCCTATAATAATTTTAAATAATCAGATTTTACACATTAAACGTGATACATTATTGGTCAGAGCTGCTAAGATAAGTTACAGTAAGGAAGTTCAAGAATTAAAATGTTTAAATGTTCAGTCTTTTCGTAAACCTATAAGTCTGAATGAAGTAAATATTAACTTGAAGTTACAAAGAGATGAAGTAGAAAATGTTTATACCTTAATATGTAAATATAGGGACACTTTTGCTCAAAATTTATCTGAATTAGGGTGCACTGATATTAGCGAGATGGAGATTAAATTGACAAATAATATCCCTGTAGTTTACCGACCCTACCGGCTTAGTTATAAAGAAAGAGAGATAGTAAATGAAATGGTTAAAGAATTACTAGACAATAACATTATTGAGGAATCTGCATCGTGCTATGCTAGTCCGATTATACTCGTATCTAAGAAAACGGGCGGGCATCGACTATGTGTAGACTATAGAACTTTAAATAGTCGGACTGTTAAAGATCATTATCCTCTCCCCTTGATCGAAGACCAGTTAGATCAGTTGAGTGGCAGTAAATATTTCACGACCTTAGATCTATTGAGTGGCTACTACCAGGTTCCAATTAAAGAAGAATGTAGGCATGTTACAGCTTTTGTTACCCCTGATGGGTTGTACCAGTTTAAAAGGATGCCATTTGGCCTGGCCAATGCGCCTTCGGTGTTTCAGCGGACTATGGGTCGTGCTCTCAGGTTAAACCATGCTAGGAATTTAAAAGGCAATGAAAATAAAGACATGCCTGCTGGCGCTCCAGCTCTAGCCTATATGGATGATCTTATAATACCCTCAAAAAATTTTGACCAAGGAATCAAGAATTTAGAAAAAACTTTTCAATTATTAAATGAAGCTAAATTAACTTTAAACATAAAAAAATGCTATTTCTTTCAAACCTCCATAGATTATTTAGGTTACGAAATAACAGGTGAGGGTATTAAGCCTGGTGTAACTAAGGTCGAGGCAGTCAAAGCTTTTCCAGCTCCCCGAAATGTTCACGAAATCAGGCAGTTCATAGGTTTAGCTAGTTATTTCAGAAAATTCATATCAAAATTTTCAATAATAGCGCGTCCGTTAACTGATTTAACTAGGAAAAATCGTCCATGGGAATGGGGAGAGAGCAAATCGGTGCTTTCGAGACTCTGAAGGCAAAACTTATCGAACGTCCATTATTGACACTGTATAATCCTAATTACATAACAGAATTACATACAGATGCGAGTAAAGTCGGGTTGGCAGGGATACTCTTACAAAAAGAGAATGAGCGTGACTCATTTAAGCCAGTAGCATATTTTAGTAGAAAAACTACAATTGATGAACAGAAGTTTCATGCCTACGATTTAGAAACTCTTGCGGTAGTTACTTCACTTCAGAGATTCCGTGTATATTTATTGGGACTACAGTTTACAATAGCAACTGACTGTAATGCCTTAAGATCAACGTTTTCTAAACGAGATCTGTTGCCACGTATTGCCAGATGGTGGTTAGCATTACAGGAGTACGATTGTAATATCGTATATAGACCAAATCACAACATGACTCACGTGGACGCACTAAGTCGTAATCCCTCTGAAATAAGTGAGCCTAGTTACACTACAAATACTGGGATCGGTTCATTAAATGTTTTAAATATTACACAAGACGATTGGTTGCTAAGTGTTCAACTGACTGACCCTAAAATATGTTTCATTAAGGATGTTTTAAACGACTCCAAATATAAGGATGTTATAGATATTAAACAAAATTTTGTAATAAAGGATAACCGGTTATATAGAAAAGTTGACGGTAATTTAAAATGGGTTGTTCCGAAGGGAGCCAGGTGGCAAATATGTAAACAAAACCATGACGATATTGGTCATTTTTCTATAGATAAAACTTTATCAAAAATTAAAAAAGATTTTTGGTTTCCAAGAATGAAAAAATTTATTGTTAAATATGTAAAATCTTGCATACACTGCGCATACGGGAAAATGCCCGGTGGTAAAAAGGAAGGCTTTTTACACCCGATACCCAAAAACGAGATTCCTTTTGACACTGTTCATATTGACCACCTGGGACCCTTTATAAAAAGCTCAAAGGGAAATGCTTATTTACTAGTTTTAGTGGACGGATTTACAAAATTCTGTATAATTAAAGCTTTACGTAATCTGAAATCGAACCTAACTATCAGAGCATTAGAGGATATTTTCACTACATTTGGATTTCCTAAGCGCCTAATATCTGATAGAGGTACCTCATTTAGCTCAGATGAATTCAAAAGGTTTTGTGATAAAAAACATATCAAACATATCATGAATGCAGTGGCTTCACCTCGTGCTAATGGCCAGGTGGAGCGCTATAACAGAACAATACTTGGTGCGCTAACATCATACACTGATAGGGTAGGCGAGACAAAATGGGATTCGGAATTAGGAAATATACAGTGGGGTCTAAATAATACATTGAACAAGGGCATAGGTAAGACTCCATCGGAAGTCTTATTTGGTCGCTGTCTAGTTCATGAGAGTGAAAATGTTATGAATGAAATATTTGACGTTACTAGGGTGGTAGACAAAGATGTAAAAGAGATCAGAGACGAAGTAAGTGAGC